TTATTTTCAACTCTCTGATTGGTTTTAGAAAGTTTATGATTTTGTGGCTTATAAATCTCCTTTGGGTCATTAAGTTGAGAGCAATAGTTTCCCATCATTTGTTACATTCTAAATGGAAGAGACATCTTCCATGCTTCTTTCTATTGTGTATTGTTTTGTCTTTCCGAGCTGTTTTTTGGGTTCTTCAGAGCAATCTTGCATAAATTCTCTCATCATTTATAACTAATCTGCTTTTATCCTGTTCCTTGGCTTTATACTTTGAAATATTTATGTGTATTTTTTGTCTTAAAAAAGTTCCATTTTGTTCTTGTTTAAATCTATCCAGTAAATTTTCATAGTATCTTATTCTTTTGTCATACTTTCATATTATTCTCTTACTTCTTTCAACATATCAATCACATGAGTTTTATGTATTCTAAATGTGATTAGTTAAACATACACAAACTCTGTAAATCTGACTCTAAGCATAGTTTGTTCCTGGGATTTCTGTCATGATGTCTTGATTTTTGTTTTATTTCTCATCTTTTTAAACTTTTGTGGGTAGGAGTATGAATTCATGATCTTTGGAACCTTATCCATGGGAATTCTTTTAGAATTGAATTTAAATAACTTTCCTCTGATGAGGATTTGCACTTGTCTCTTGAACTTGGTAGAACCACCAAGCTGGCATCACTGGAAACAAGTGTGAGGGAATTGAGCCCCACAGGTGATCTCCAAATTCACAAGTTCTGACCTTTGGGTAAGAATTCTTGTGGGAGACAATTTTTAATTTTTGTTTCATTTTTTCTTTTTCTTTTTCTCTGATAACTCAGAGCTAGGATGAAGGTAGGTTAGGATCCTTAACTTCTTCTGTGAGGCTTTGCTTTTAGTTTTTTTTTTTTTTTTTTTTTTTTTTCTGGCTTACCCTAAAGATTTCTCACTGTGTGAGTCCTGGCTTTTTGGGGTGGGGTTGTTGCTGATACAACACCCATTACTCTGGCCCCAGACCCTGTCTCCTTGGCCCTTCCATGTGGCCTGTAACCTTCAATCTACTATCAGAGACTGGTTTGTGCCCCTTCCCTTCTGGGGCCAGCGCTGTAATGTCCCTTTCCCCTTGGGTGTGAGCTTTCTTGCCTTTTCTCGCTGTTAAGAGCTTCCCTTATTTTTTGCCAGCTCATCTGTACATTGAAGATATTTCATTCAGCATTTTGGTTGTGTTATTAGCCTACAATTCTGCAGGAATTCTGCACTTATCTTGTATTTCTGCTGGGCTCTACTAATAATTCTTGGGCAGGTTTGTGGTTTCCAGTGGCTCTCAGGGGCCATATTTTTAAGGCACACCTCAGGATATGGATAAGTGGCACAAGGATGTTTGTCTTTCTTGGAGAAAGTAACCACATAGTCATCTGGATATATACCTTGCACAGGTTCAAAAGGGGGAAGCCTGCTTCTTCTGTGGGCCACTGAGATGTCATAATCTTAGAAATATTATGCTAACATGATTTTTACTTTAGCCATCATTGTGGTCACTGTAGATTTTGAAGCAAATGAATGTAGATATAATTATATTTAAAAGTAAACGTATCGTTCCTACAAATTCATTTCCACCCAAATTAAATTTCAAATGAGTCTTTGTGATTTAAAATAAATACTTAGACATTGTTTCTAATTTTAAATGAATCATTAGGTGGGAATATATATTTTTGCATGACCAGAAATTGTCTGTGTTAATTGTTCTTTGATATTAATATTTTTGTGAGCAAATGTTTTGGTTGACTAAATCTTGCAAACTTCAGGATTGAGAAAGGAAGTATATAGTCAAATCTGGAATGATATAGAAATGCTGTGCGATAATCTGGTGTAACATCTATTTAATAACGTGGACATCATCTTGAAATTCTTAATGTTTGTTCTTCCCTTTCTTCAAAAGAAAAGAGAAACTTCACGTGTGGATGCATACAATGGGGCAGTGAGGAGGTATTATGATGGGGGGGAGGAGATTCCAGAGAACAGTGAAGAGATCAAGTTTGCATCTTCTCTTTGTCATTCACTGGCTCCCGCACCAGCTCTCTGCTATAGACCAGGAGCGGTGAAACCAACCTCAGGAGGTGGCTCTGAGCTCTGTGCTTGGCCCAGGTCTGCAGGCTGCTGGGCAGATAGTGCACTTGCCTCCCTCACAGACACTTGCCTCACATCAGCTCCGTCCTGCTCTGCTGGCCAGGGTGAACCAGCAAGTGACAAGGGGAGTGGCTGTACACCACGTCTGATCTTGCCACCATCCTTCCTGGTTTCTTTGCTCAATTTAACATGGTGACAACACAGGGTCTGGGATGCAGGAAACACATTTCATCTTTGGCCATTGGATATTTCATGAGGATACACAAATCTATGGGCAGGTTTAGGGAATCATAATCAGTGCTTTTTTTTTTTTTTAACAAATCTAAATTGTCATTGATATTAAGGTCACTTAGCCTGCGTGTGCCTCGGCTTTAGAAGCAGGTGTAATGATAAAAATACCTGATTTTCAAGCATGTACTAAGGAAGACAGAGATATAATATCCCTCAGTTTAAAAAAGAAAGTAGTTTTAATGAAAAACTCCATCCAGCGATTTTTAAAGGTTAATTAACTTAAACTAGTGACACAGAATTACTTCAATAGTTAACAAAGAATATTTTGATATCTATGTATCAACTTGAACATTTAATGCAAATCCTGGCCCACCCCATTCCTCCATAGAATAGAAACAACAGAGATAAAGGCAAAACAAAGCAATCAAAATCATTCTATTCCAGTGGTGATAACTAATTCTATAAACTAACCATCACAAGGACCCTGCCAGAATGAATGCAAAGTGGTCTCGCTTAATACAAAGAAACGTCTCCTAAACCCAAACGTCTTATGAGGTCAAATTCTCATTATCTGAATGGCATTTCTCAGGGGCATTGTATTTCCTATAGAAAAGAGTTTTACACCCTCATGTTTGGGTGACTCCCATAAAAATATTTTTGTGGTACACTTGTCTCATCATTGCTACAGCAAGCCAAAAGCCAAGTTCCAGTAACGCAAGGAGCCAGCCACACAAAACCATGAAAGAATAGAGACATTCCCCTCCGAGACCCCCTCTGAAGGTCCGTGTGAGTACCCCTAGCCCTGGCTCAACCACAACCATTCCAGGTAAGTAGGATATTGTGATTACGTTTAAAAGGCACTGTCTGATTTCTCAGCGCTACCTCTAACGTTCTGTCCTGGAAGCCCCTGCCCAGGCACGTTAGAAGTGTTGCCACCCCAGCCGATGCAGCCTTTGCTTCTGTGGAAATTTCCCTCTTTAAAGCATATAGAGGAGCATGTTGAAGAAAGGATGGTGTTGGGTTGATTGGAAATATTATACAGCTGGGTTTGCGTGTGGGGAAGGAGGCCTCAGTATGGCAGGACTGCAGAGAGCCCGGCTCATGGCCACGGTGCGGAGCACCCCCTGCTGGGAGCGAGGTGACTGCAGGCCTCCAGGTGGAGCGGAGGGAGGATCTGCGTCAACACATTTTCCACCTAACACCCTTGTATAGGATCAGTAATGATTATATTAATAATTTTAAAAACTTGGAAGGCCAGGCGAAGGGTTTTTTTTTTTAAATTAAGCTTTCTATTTCCCTGACTCCTTTCTTTCCACTTGGCCACATTGTGGGGTTGGAATGAAAAGAAAGTCAGGCAAAGAACACAATAAAAGCTCAACCTAGGAATCAAAACCAACCACTCACAATGATGTAGCTTTCTTTCTAAGAGCATTGAAAAATGGGAACGTACAGCTAAAGAAAGCCAGGGGGAAAAAGAAAGGAAAGTAAGCTTATAGTTTCTAGAATCATATTCAACTAACTTTAGTTTTCCCAATGCCAGTGTTTGTATTTGGAAATTAAAGTGATGCACTTAAAATTTGCATCAAAATCCAGAAAACTGACTTCCTTATCACCAAACAAATAAGCTTCGCAAACAGAAAGATGAATTTAAAATATTATTCTGGATGATTGCCAGTGTGATAGGGTTTGAATTTGTCTCCTTAAGAATACAGATAAAATAGGTCAGGAGTGAGTGCTTTAAAAATTCCATTTTCGGCCAACAAACATATGAAGAAATGCTCAACTTCTCTAATCATCAGGGAAATGCAAATCAAAACCACAATGAGATATCACTTAATTCCAGTGAGAATGGCCTTTATCAAAAAAGTCCCCAAACAATAAATGCTGGCGTGGATGCGGAGAGAGAGGAACACTCCTCCACTGCTGGTGGGACTGCAAACTAGTTCAACCTTTGTGGAAAGCAATATGGAGATACCTTAAAGCGATACAAGTGGATCTACCATTTGATCCAGCAATTCCACTACTGGGCATCTACTCAAAAGATCAGAAGTCACTTTATGAAAAAGACACCTGCACTCGAATGTTTATAGCAGCACAATTCACAATTGCAAAGCTACGGAAACAACCCAAGTACCCATCAATTCGTGAGTAGATTAATAAAATGTGGTATATGTACATCATGGAGTACTACTCAGCTTTAAGAAACAACGGTGATACAGCACCTCTTGTACATTCCTGGACACAGCTGGGACCCATTCTACTAAGTGAAGTATCCCAAGAATGGAAAAACCAGCACCACACGTACTCACCAGCAAATCGGTATTAACGGTTTGCCATCAACACCTAAGTGGACATACAGGAGTAACATTTATCGGGTGTCGGGAGGGGGGGGGATGGGTGTATACAACCACAACGAGTAAGATGGGCAACGTTTGGGGGATGGACACGCTTGAAGCGCTTACTCGAGGGGGGAGGGGGGCATGGGTAATATATGTAACCTTAACATTTGTACCCCCATAATACGCTAAAATAAAAAAAATAAAATTAAAAAACATAAAAATTTCATTTTCTGCTCCACCGCAGATTCAGCAAAGATATTCTCAATACGCAGAGGATGGCCCTCAGTTACGGAAACTCAGAACGGAAGTTGTTTGAAAGTTGTCTGAACGTACCGCTGAGACCGGAAGTCCCCGTCTTCCATCTTCAGCGAAGGTGCAGCGACCGCAAGGAGTCGGCTGTTCAGGAAAACAGCATGTTTCTCCATGTCTCTCGAGCAAGAAGAATAAGGATTCAGATGGCATGCCGAAAAACCACCTGCGGGAGAGGCTCCTCGTGTTATATAAAGCACTTCTTTTGCATTTTGAGGGAGGGACAGGGTCGTGTCTCCCCCTTGGCGACCACATGTCTCCCGGAAGACGACGGTGACAGGACTCTAAAGAGGACGGGCGGCTGCCGCGACCTGTGAACCCCGTTCACGGATGTGTGTCCACACTAACCAGACCCCGGGCTAACACCCGGCAGTCGGCAGGTTCTTTCGCTTGAGGACTCTTCCCTCGGGGCGATGGGAAAGCAGAAGCTTGGGCTGAAACCGGAGCGCCCGGAACGACGGGCGCGAAGTCCCCGGGGTGACGGGGACGCCCAGAGCCGCGCGCTCCGCCACGCAGGGCCCTGGGCCGTCCCGCGCCCCGTCCTCGCCTGGCGCGGACGGAGGCCGGTGGGGCAGAAGACGTTCCGGAGGCCAGCAGCCTCTTGGTGAAGGACTCGGGCGCCCTTCTCCGGAAGCGTGCGTCCCCAGAGGGGTGCACTGTGCGGAAGGGAGGGAAGCTGGCCGGAGGGACCCCTCCCCAGAGCCGCGCGTCTGGAGGTCGGACGGGGCTGTCCTCCAGAACACGAAGTGAGCCTCGACTCTCCGGGCGGGGGCAGGTTCCCGGGGGCGGGCAGAGGGCTCCGTGTTTGCCCGTCACGGTCAGCGACTTCGCCGGCCGGTCCGTCCGGGCGGACGAGCCCTCAGGGCGGCGCGGGGCGCCTAGTCTCGAGCGCGCTTTCGCCCGGACGCCGCACGTCAGGGCGCGCTTTCCTCACAGCTGTGGCGACGTTCTACGGGATTGTCACTCGAAGACCAAAGCGGTCACTTCACTTGCGGTCTGGCCGCATGTTTGCCAAGGTTGGTTCTGAGGGACTCGCGTGTGCTGCCGGGGCCGGAGCGCCGGGCAGGGCGCGCGAGGGGCTCGGGCCGCGCTCCCGCGACCCGGCTCCGCGCTGGCGGGAAGAACGCGGGAGGCGGGACTGGAGGAGGGCGTGTGAAGGGCGGGGCCGGGGAATGCGGGGCGGGGCTAGGGCGGGTTGAGAGGTGGGGCCGCAGGGCCGGGGCCGGACTGAGAGGGCGGGGCTAAGGCGGGTCGACGGGGTGGGACCTAAGGGGCGGGGCCAGGGCGGGTTGAGGGGCGGGGCCACGGGGCCAGGGCCGAGAGGCGGGGCTAAGGCGGGCCGACGGGGTGGGGCCGAAGGGGCGGGGCCAGCCCAGCCCTCAGGCCTCCCCTGGCTTGGGCGTCCCTGCGTGCAGCCTGAGAACAGCCAGTCAGTGCTGTCCTGGGCGAGCAGGGCCAGGGTGACAGGGAGGGGACATTCCAGCGCTGGCGTTTCAGTGTTTCATGTGCTACATGCATACAAAAATACAAAGTTAGTATGAGAATATTAAAGAATAGTACACATAGCATTTCAAGTTACACAATTAAAATGGATATGTAATACAAATTAACATATACCCGAGAGGGGGGCGGCTTGTGTCTGCGGAAGGTATGGGGGTTTAGGGTTTACATTTTCAGCCCCTCACTTTCCCTTTTGAGTTGTATCAGTTGTATACTCATGACGTAGGGTGGTGAGGTTATCTAAAAGTAGCAATTAATGGCTGTTAAGAAAAAAATATTCTTAAAGAGTACAGAAAACATTTTTTAAAGAAGCTAGAATTTGGATACAGTTCAGGGAGGCCGTAAACACGCTTACCTCCTCCTCTTCCCAAATTGCTATACGAGCCATCTAGAGACCAGAAATGTGACTTTCTGAAGACAGAAAGCAGCTGGAAGGGCAGACACTGCTCCGGCAGGTGTCCAGAACAGGATAAGCAGGCAGCAGTGCTCAGGGCACTTAAACAGCTCCCCAAGTGCTAGATTCACCCACATCACCTGGAGGCATCCCCAGAGTTTCAAATTCAGGGGGTCTGAGTGAGGCCCAGAATCTCCATTTCCAACAAGCCATGCACACAGCCTCCTACGCCTCTCCTCCACAGCACAGAGGCCTCAGCTGTGCCCAGCAGGGAAGTCAGCCGGGCTGGGTGAGGGCTGGGCTCCCAGTGTGAGCACTGGCACCCTGGCTCATGCGCATGTATTATATGTGCTTTTTGGGAGGCGGGGGTGGCCTGAGCCGAGCTGGCCCAAGGTCCTGAGGTCCTTCACAAAAGCGCAAAGTCCTTCATAAGAGCAAGCAAAAGCATTCATTTTCACAGAACTGAATTATCCCATCTCTCCTTGGCTCTTCCTCACAATTCTATCTTTGCCTGTATTATTAGAACTTACTTAACTAGGTTAAACAAACTGCAAAACAATGATAGTTCTTTAATTCCTTAAAATTATCTTTAGAGGGACAGGAAAAGAACTTCCTGTTTGTTTCACAACCAGGCACACTGAATTTCTTTGAGAAAGTGTCAGGTAAATGGAAGGAAGCAAGAGACAAAAATCACAAGTTGATGGATCTGTCTGCCTTTCCCCTACATTTCTAGAACATCCCTCATGGAAACCTTGTTGCATCACATTTATGAGCTCTAACCACACTACAGATTCTTTGCAATATGTACAAATTATTTGTAATATTACCAATTCCCATAAAATAGTCTAACAAGACAATGTGTCAGGGATGCTGTTTGAAAACACCTATGTTCAATGTGGGCAGGATGACATAGTTCACTACCTTCTTTGCCTGCTGGTTCATCAGGTGAGTTGTGACAGAACCTCCTGTCACCACCAGTTGCCAATTACTCACCTGGCCACTTTTTTTTTGGTCAAAGCACTTTGCTTTAGGATGCCTAAAAAGTCACCAGAAAATATTTGACAGAACAAAGTATTTGTTTTTTTTAATTATGCTCTCAAATAACAATTTTACGTTATCCTTTCCACACATTTTTCCCATTTACTTCTGGAGATAACAGACGTAGGCAGTAAAACTATTGCCCCAAATAGGAATGAAAATGTTTCCCTGCTAGAAAGGCTTCAGCTGGTAAACTTCTGAAGCTAACGTGTCTTTTCCATCCTGCATGGTTTACTCATGGGTGGGATAACAGAGCCCTCTAGTGGCCACAGTGCAATTCAGTCCCAAGTACAAATTTGTTTCACATTCTTTTAAAATTAAATTTACTGAGTTACACTGCCACATCCTATTTAAATAAACAAACAAACAAATAAACAAACAAACAACGTAACTAGCAAAGTACTCTCTCTCTGGAAAATTACAACCTCAAGTGTGTAATCAACCTATCACATATAGGCAGATTTTGTGCGTGGAATGAAAAGCCAGAAACACCTTAGGAATGTGCATGAGCGCCAAGGATTGGTCAGACGTACTCAGGAGTACTCTGCCCACCCTCTGTTCATCTTCCTCACCGCTTCACTGCACCTGACCAGCAGCTCCCAGGCTTCCTGCACCATCGTCCTGTGAAGACAACTAGGAAGAATTGCTGCTGTTGCTGCAGCCAGCCTGGTTCCCTCCCACTTAGCTCAGCACTGACCCAGCTGGGGCCCGCCAGCACCTGTGTGGTCACAGGGACAAGGACTCTAGCCCAAAGCCCCATCCAACTCCAGATTCAAGTGTTAATTTACTTTTGTATTCATACAATGTTTTTGTCAAGTGAGAAAACCTTACAGCAACATTCTGCTTGGGTATCAGAAATCACTAATATCTTAAACCTGGTTCACTCTCTGAGGGTTTATTATTAGTCCACAACATAGGGTAGAGCTGACAAGTAAACAACGCACCGTGGTGGTCAGAACCATGGCAACCAGGAGATAGTACTGGTGCTAATCAATACACATCAGAAAACGTCAGTGTGCCTGTTCTGCAATAATCAGAAACACGTAGAACTGCTGAGGTTACATGTTTGATCCACCTGACAAATCCACTCAACTAGGCACAATTTCCACAAACTGTCAGCAACCCACACGGTGCTCTGCTCTTACTTCCCACAGTCTCTGCAGCCGCTCCAAGCCTGTCACTATGTGGAAAATGCTCACCAAGGTCACTGCTACCCACCCACGCTCACTTCAACCAGCTACAGAGAGCCACATGCCTGGCCAAGAAACAACTGCCAAGGTCACTCCCACACACCCCCTGCACTGCCTTTTGTTTCCTCCACTCTCCCACACCACTTCAAATTGCAGGAGGACCCACCGAGTGATTTTTCTCTGGAGGCAAATGTAAGTACAACAGAGCTCTGAATAGCTTCCATAAGCTATCAACTTCCGAAGCTTTTCCCTTATCTCTACAGAATTTTGCCCATATATGCTCCCTGCCACTTCCACTTGGATGTCTCATGGTTCCCATGTCCCAAATGAAAAGCTTGAAATTGGTGATTCCTACCACCAAACCTACACACCTATCCCCAACTCCAGGAGCCCAACTCAGTAACCTGGGAATCTCGATTCTTAATTGTCCCTGACCCCCACTTTCTCAACACAGCATTGATTCTACTGCTAAGACAGATTTTAAAATCCATCTACTCTTTACCCATCACCGAGCCCCATGTCCACCTGATGTGGTCCTCCCGACAGGCCTGGCCTCGCCACTGCACCTCACCCTTTTCTCATCCCTTTGCCTCAGAACAGCCCTGGTTACTGTAATCTAATGACACCTCTGCTCAAATCTCCCTGGAGCCTTGATTGCCACTCAGCATGAATGTGTCCCCAGATATCCTGACTGGCATGTCCCTCTAACCCAGTCTTGCAGACACTCGCCCTGTGTTTTGGCACTCTATGGGTTTGTTCCCTTGCAGGGCTGCCCTCACCTACGCAACAGGGTCATTTCTCCCTGTTTTCAAGGCAGGTTCTCTCTTCCTAGGTCCTTGCAGTTACCTCCTGAGAGACCCTCCTTGACCAACACACAGAAAGAGGAGTCTCCTTGCTATTCTCTACTGCAAATCTACATGATTTCTTCACTGCAGTTACCTCAACTTATGATTGTTGCATTTATTGGGTGATTACTTGTTTAGGATTTTTCTCTATCCATACATCACAACTCTTTGAGAATTTGGCTCCTAAATGGCTTGCTGTTCAGCTCTTCCCAGCAAGGCGCCGAGAGTATGCTCAAGATATACTGGTAAAAGAATGACTATACCAACAGTTTCCAAAAAGGCAGAGTTATTTATAAATTTCAATTATGTTTGTTATAGGTGTTATAGTTACTTAAGAAAATATAAGGAAGGCATAACAAATAGCTGTTAAATTGTAATTACACAAAAAATCCAATCCTGAGCACTTAATTATATGGTATCTGGTATCACATAAGACCATCTCAGTGAACACTCAAAACTGGATAAATACTGGCAATGCAACATCTTTAAATATGTTTCTGTCGCCAGAATGCAAGTGTCCTCAGGAGTGGCCATTTTCTCCTATTTTTGGTTAGAGTATGTTCTTTATCTTTGGTAGAACAGAAGTGAGGCCCAGTGTCACTCTTTACTAATCAGAACAATAACGTGCATGGCTTACTTTTATTTTTTATTATAAAAAACACATACAAGAGTTTTAAGAAATGATGAATATAAGACAAATCAGAACCACGGTGAGTTATTAAACCCATGTTCTATATACAAATACTAAAATTCCGAAAGTGGAATATCATCAAATGTGAGACACATCATAGCACTGACCATATGTACACAGCACACAGAGCTCTCTCTGCCTGCAGTCGCCTCTGAATCGCTCATATACATGTCACTGATACAAACCTGCAAGGGAACTTCTACTCTTCAGTTCTCCTCTTCCTGATATATAGTTAAATATTTTTAAGGAATTTTAGAGATAAAAAGAAAATGCATTAAAGTGAGTTTCTGCTAAGGGCTCTCCATGTTTTACTCGGATCAATTATGTATTACATCTTGAGAAAAACTTTTGTAGCCCATTTCCAGCTAAGAAGTGGAAAACTCTTTAGGTCTTTGTTTTGCCAATTTACTTTTTCCTAGTCACTCATTTGAACACAAGTCCGAAAACAGCTCAGGAACCAAATCATGTTTTTATATTGGTAAGTTCATTATAAAATGCCACTCAATTTTAAAAAGCCACTAAAAAGACACTTTCTGCAGCAAAAAAAGGGCTAAATTCAAGTTTTTTGTTGTTTGACCAAGACACAATAATACAATCCATATGTCACATGATCACAATAACCATAAGTGAAATGTATGTGATTTAGGGAAAAACAACTGTGCAATTGTTTGTTTCTCCTGTCTCCTTGCCAAACGATAAGGAGAGCCTCTTGTCAGTTTATTTTGCGTCTTCTTTAAACCTTCCTTTGTATCTGAAAGCTGATTAATCTATTTATATTCAAATGTGTCAAGGCACTTCTCTAGCCACAGTGGCCTTCTTGGGTCAGCCGAGCCCCTCTGCACTCAGCGCACCGACTTCTTCCAGGTAGCTGAGGATGGCAGACGGAACGTTCTTGGAGGCCTCTCTCCGCCAAGCTTCCAGGATCTTGCAAATTTCTGCTGGATTGCTGGGACTCAAGTCACAGAGAGCATATACGGCTGCTAACTGTATACCCCATGGAATATCTGAAAAGAAATTTTAAATCAATTATAATCCAAGAAGATGTCTACTACTCAAAATTTTAATAATGTAATCTACTAAAATACAATCCAAATACAGAATCATTTCTGCTTCTGCCAGCAATGAAAAATATTAAATAACACAGTAAAAAATTTAAGACCTGTCTACAAATTTAAAAAAAACAATTCATCAAATACATGATTCTATTAAACATCCACTTGAAGTATTTATAAATGGACTCTGGAAATAAACACAAAAAAATGAGATAAAATATAAAACTATCTTTATACCACAGTTTCACATACCAGATTATAACATATGATTCTAGATTATAGCTAGGTTATAAATTACAGTATATTATTACAGCTGTCCTTTAGGGTAAGTTTATTTAAATTAAAGCTTAATTTAGGTAAAATTTAATTTATTTAAATAATTTAGGAGTTATTTAGTTAAAATTTATTATTAACTATAATACAGGTTAAGTATCCATACTCCAAAAAATCCAAAACTTTTTGAGCATCACCATGATGCTCAAAGGAAATGCTCATTGGAGAATTTTGAATTTTAGATTTTCAGGTTAGAGATATTCACAAATATTCCAAAATCCAAAAAAATCCCAAATCCGAGAAACACTTCCCATTTCAGATAAGGAATACTCAACCTGTATTTCAGTTATTTCAAACAAACAAACCCAACACAAAAGCCCACACATTCAAATGTTAATGCTGAAAATGCAGGCAATACTGTAGCCTTTAAAATAGCTTTTAAAATTACTTTTCTCCCTACTCTATAAGCAATTATGGAGAAGCAATACAGCATAGCACACAGTGAGGCCACAACTCAAAAAAGTGTTTAACAGTAAAAACACAAGAAATTAAAAAGACAATCTGAATAAACAGGAGCATGTGGCACTGCTTAGCCTTATCTTCTGCAAATTGCTCTCTGGGCTTTAGTTTCCTCAGGTAAAAGATAAGGGAGACACTCATTCACCTCAGAGGGTTTTCTTGGGGACCCTGCTACGCTGTGGGGCAGTGCCAAACACAGTGTCTAACCTATAGCAGGCCCCAATATCTGCTTATCCTCTTTCCTCATGCTCCTAGCTTCTACGTTATACCTGCCCCAGCAACAGAACAAGTCTGTACCTATTGGCAAGACAACCCATTAGCCATTATTCTGGCTACTATCTTTTGTGTCAGTATACAATCTAAATGGTAAAGGAGTACACTTTCACATGGAAGAAACATGCATCACTTCAGCAGCTCTCCTAAAATCAAAGAAATACTTCAGAGAAAGCACCTTAACAAGAAAGGCTCTGCTCATTAAGCTCAACATATCAAGTCTCCCACTGAAAACTGAAGACAAAACACTTACCATGTTAAGATTATCTTGGGTGTCACGCAGTATTTAAGATGTCACTTTCTACATTTCTGATAGGATGTTGCTTAACTACATTGTTCCTTGATTATACAATAATCAAAACAGAAACTAGATTTACCACTTATAAAGGGTTACCTTAAGGTTTTCCCACAACAGAATGAGACATAAAATTACATGCTATACAAAATGTAAATGTAACAGAAATCCTGCCATGAAGATTTGCTCACAAAGTTTCTAGTCTTCCAAGTTCTCTCCAGATGCTAAGTACTCAGTGATACCTGGCACCTCACTGTGCATCCCTGCTCACAGGTGTGATCTCATCTGGCCGTCAGGACACAGGAGGCCTCCACCCAACAGGCCTCGCAGGGAGCCCAGGTTAAATCACTTTTTTGGGATCACAAGGCACAGTTTCTGAGACAGAATGTTAGCACCAAGGGGAGAAGAGAGTTCCCTCTTCCTTAGAGAAGCACTGCCCAACAGAGCGAACTATTGCCATTTAAATAAACAAACAAATACATTCAGACACGCATTCAAATACTAATGCTGAAAATGTTTTTGCAAATATGCCCTAGTCTACAAGGCAGCAAGAGACACACACAGCACAGCACATAGTAAGGATTCCAAAAATGGTTTAATAAGGAAACACAAGTGATTCAGAAGTAATTTTAACAAATAAGAGTTTTACCTTCATCCTGAGCATGCTGTATAAACATACCAATAACTGAACTAATATTTTTCACAGCAGATGGAAATCCTTCCTTCAAACCCAATTGGCCTAAACGACCTAGGGGAAACACAAAATAAAATGTAAACAGTTCTTGGTTAAACGTTAACTTTTCATAATTTAAAGCACCACTGCCTTACAGGAGGTGATCAAAATGCCCAATCTCTTCTTTTATTCACACGTATGTGAGGATATACAATGTGCTGCTTTCCCAGCTAAGTTACAATGTCGTCAATGGAATCCAGAAGGAATGTAGGGCTACTGTGAAATGGCTAATAGGCTCACAGATCAACTAGGAGACAGTGGTCCAATCAAAATATACATTTTTGGTTCTAACACTTTGGCAGCTGCTGTGATAATATAGAGCAGCAGTTCTCAAGTGTAGTCCACAGACAACTTGGAGTCCTCAAAGTCAGAACTATTTCAGAATAATGCTGAGAAGTTACGTGCCTTCTTCCCAGCGCCAAGGTGTGGGCTGACGATGCAAAAGCAACAGCAGATCAAACGACTGGACCCTGAACATGTATCAAGATAGTGGCACCTCACTGGATGGCAGTGCAAAAGCAACAGCAGATCAAACGACTGGACCCTGAACATGTATCAAGATAGTGGCACCTCACTGGATGGCAGTAATTCTTCATCACCAAGCGCCCACAGTCAAAAACACTGATTTCACTTATGAAATGTCCTTGATGAGGCAGTCACGACTGTTCTCACTAAATCTAGGCCCTCAAACACAGAACTCTGCAACATTCCGTAGAAAGCCCAGGAAGTACACATGCAGCTCTCCCCTGCACACCCAGCTCACTGGTTGTGGCGAAGAAAAGCACTTGTGGAACTGTGTGTTGTGAGTGAAACTGGGTGCTTTTCCCAACACCGCTTTTGATTGAAAGATCTGACAAACTATGACTATTTGGAATGAAGCAGACATTGTCTCAAAAACAAACAATGTGAACTTGTAACTTCAAGAAAATTTATCATTATGGTCAATGATAAAATTTGAGCCTTTAAGCAAATTAGAATTATGGAACAACTTCCACCAGCCACCCTGAGCTTCACAGCTTTCTAGTGCTTAAGACTTTTCTGTGATGAGATTGGTGATATTGTGTTTTGGGGGGTATTGCTGACATCTGGAAGATCTGTGTGAATCAATTATTTTCCAAGTGAACAATGCAGGTTACAAAATCATATAAGGGCAAAAGGATCCCTTCAACATGCAAGCTAGACCAATGCATTTTATAGTATAACAGAATACAAAAAGCTGACTGATAAGATTTCAGATTTCACACTACAACTAATCTTTGAGAAATTACTACTTGGGTTTTATTGTAGTATCACAGAAGAATATCCATAATTATTTGAAAAGGCTATGAAAATACTCTTCCCTTTACCAACTACATATTTGTATTTGGATGGATTTTTTTCATACATTCAACCAAAACAACATATTGCAAGACATGAATGCAGAACAGATAATGAAAAACCAGCTATCTTCTATCAAGCCAGACAGTAAAGAGGCTTGCATTGCAAAAAGGCAATGTCAGTCTCATTATTTTTTGTTTGTTTTGGAAATAATAGTTATTTTTCATTAAAAATGTCATATGTTAATGAGTTTATTACTGTTAATTTTAAATGAATAACTAAATATTTTAAAAATTTCTTAATTTTAATTTCTAATACAATAATTATTGATATAACCTGCAGTAACAAAAGTTCTTTCAGAGTTCTTAATAATGATTAACCACTTGGGTACCATGCTCACCAGCTGCGAAACCTTGTCCACAGCTGGCACTCATAGTCCGCATGATAGTTTGTGCTGTGCATTGACGACGAATCCCTTTTGCTCTTCTTGTGTGATGAGGAAAGCTTTAAAACACTGAAAGCTTATTTTACTTTACAGGCAGCTTTACTTGTAATGTAAATCAGAATAGGTAATATACACATATATGTATTCATTACCTTATTTTTAAATGTTCACAATTTTATTTTGATAAATGAAAAATTAGAAAAGTCATATCACAGCGGTCAGCTAAAGTCGATGTGCTTGTTCATCTGTGGCTAACGACTATAGTCGACGCTGGTACCAAAGTGGTTAACAGTATATAGGGGTCCTGACACCAAAAGGTATGAGAACCAAAGAGATCACAGGACAGCTAAATCCACCGAAGGCCAAGGCAAGCAGGGACGTGTCGGCATCAGTCACCCAGTCCCCTCGTGTTTGGAGCTTTCCTTTATTTCAGTGGTTCTCCTACGGATGTAAGCTCACTCCAAGGTGAAATCCTGTTCCTTCCATCAAGGCAAAGCCCTCATCTTCTTCTACATAGGAGAAAGACTCTGGAATGTATCTTGGATGCATTTTTAGATAATATTATGTTATATGCTCATTGTTCTGTGTTCACTGATGACTGAACTCTGACCTTTTTTCTCTTGCCCAAATTCCTTTCTAAGAGGCCTAGTGAGTCTTGACTACAAACAATAAAAGCTCAATAAATAGGTTTTATAAGCCATTATAATGTGGTTTACTTTCCAACTTGACTCCAGTATGGCAGCACATGACAGATAGAAGACTCCTTTACCTTAACTTAAGCATTCCTTTCTACTGACTCCAGGTCTTTAGACAAAGTTCAACTCTTTCAAACCACTGCCAAGTTAAGAATATCTAAAACCCACCTATGACTTGTAAGCCCCTGGATTTAAGATGTCCTGCCTTTTCAGGCTGAACCAATTGTACACCTTCCATGTACTGATTTCCGGTCTTACTTGTAATTCCGGTCTCCATGAATGTATAAAACCAAACCGTAACCTAGCTGCTTCAGGTGCATTTTCTCAAGATCTCTTGTGGGCATGTTTTCCTGGGTCAAGGTCACACATATTCAGCTCAGAATAAACCTCTTTAAATTATTTTAGAAAGTTTGGGTTTTTCTATCGACATCATATTCTCTCTCAATACTGAATCCCACGGGTTTCTATGTGAACCCAGTACATGAGCCTCATTTCTATTTTAAATATGAAGAAACTGAGGCATACAGCATTTAAGTAATTTCTATTACTTTGTATCACCTATAGGAACTAGCTTAGTGCTAGTTACACATATCCTGTTTTGATATTTAGCAGATATATAGTAAATAATTACTGATCAAACAATATTAGCATTATGAATTAGGACTATCTAGGATGATACTTTAAATACATGAATAATTCCTAGGCAGCCTAGGAAATTGAAAAGTAATTTACTTCAAAGATCAGAAATTTTAGGTTACTGATCACTTTTAAATATCTCTTTGGGACGAGCACAGTGGCTCATGCCTGTAATCTTAGCACTTTAAGAGGCCAAAGTGGGAGGATTGCTTGAATCCAAGAATTTGAGACCAGCTCGAGCAATGCAGCGAGAACCCTATCACTAAAAAAAAAAAAAAAAAAATACAAAAATTAGCAGGGCATGGTGGTACACCTATCGTTCCAACTACTTGGGAGGTTGAGTCAGGAGGACCTGTTGAGCCCAGGAGTTTGAGGTTACAGTAAGCTATAATGTACTCTAGCCTGGACATCAGAATGAGACCTTATCTCAAAAATACACATATATATGCATATACCTTTGTAATTAAATCTAACTGTTAACTGTATGCCATTGGATTTGTTCTCTGAAACAATCTACCAAGGGCATTAGATGCATAACTAATAGCAGGGAAAGGGGCGTGTGCCTAACACAGTTATGGGATCATTCAGCCACAGGATGTGCATTTATTCCCGGATAATATACAATCATGTTACAATGGCTCCCTTTCTTTCAATTAAGCACATAAAGAAATTGGGTTTTATAAGCTATTTAAATTAATGGAGCTATCAGGAGTAAAATAAGAGGAAATTATGAGTCTGGGATAGATGATTTGGGGGAAAAGACTCAATATATGGTGACTTGACAAAGATGACAAATTGGTTAAATGATTGGAAGAAAATTCCTTATAGAAGGTATGTGAGGGAATCCAGGACCATTCAGCTATCTTAGAATACAAATAAGAAACGTGGAGCTACTTTCAATGTTAGAGACAATGCGCTTCACAGCACAGTCACAAAGCCAGAGGAGAGGACAGCCTGCTAAGATGACTCTACAGGGCAGAACTGAGACCAAGATAAAGATCCCAGGGCTTTCATCCAATATTTTAGATGCAAACATGCTAAGAAGGGGTAAATTGAGGCAATTTCAAAAAAACAGAGAGTTGAAAACCTGGCAAGAGAATGGTTAGAAATCAACAAGTAATGGCTACTTCAGTCTAGTGACCTAAAGAAACCTGACATGTGAGACAGTTTTCCTAGCTTCTAGGTTCCAGTTAATACCCAGTAGGCCATATTATTAAGGATTCAAGTAGAAACATGGTATTATACAGCTTTACACTCTACTGAATCCAGTGGCGGACAAATTTATCTTTGCTCTGCTACCTTCCCACTGAGTGGCCTCAGACAAGGGCTTAACCTTTCTCGGCCTCAATTCTGCCAAGAAATGAGGAGTGCAGAGATTAGACCCAGTTCTAGCACTCCTCCATATTTCTATGCAATTCAAGCATTCCACAAAATGGTCTTTAATATATTATTGTTAAGGTAGGTCAGAGTAAACCCCATTTAATAATCATATATGATAATTTGCTAATAGCAATGTTCGTATCTCAATCTAACATTAGATAATATTAAATTGCATTGACAGAAAGCCTGTTTTATTTTCCATGGAGTAAAACCCTCATTACAGGACTTTGCAAATTTGAAATCAAGAATAAAGACAATTCCCTTATTTTATGAATGATTAGTGTGTGACTTTAGTTAAATAATGGCTTACCAACTTAATTTTTTATTTATCAATTCTTCAGTGAAGGTCAGCTTCAGAAATGGTGAGAAGGCACACTAACAGAGTTTCTTCTTAAAAAGAGCCCTTACTCCTTACCCTTCAGCATGCACTATTGCCCTCACCGCCCAGCAACTGCTGGACTCTTAGGCTGGCATCAGCACAAGGAACTAAGGCACCGAAAGGACCAAGAGGCTGAGTGGGGTAAAGCTCAGCTGCTCTCCAGCAATGGCCACCCCCACAGGTCAGCCCCATGTGTCCCAGCCTCTCCAGGCCTGTCTTGCTCGTGCACACCAACTCCATCAGCAGACCCAAGTAGGATTTACTCTTCCTGACCTTGCTTTTTATTTTCCACATTATACTTTTCCTCTAATTACCCATCCTTTGAACTGTATTTCTATATTATCATTCTATTATATTGCCAATTATACCTTATTATTAATCATACATTATTCTTATTCTCCATAATATATAATTGTGTTATATTATAATTATATATAAATATATTACATATACTGATATAAATATATACATATTACTCTAAATAATATGTATTCTCAAATAGTCATAAATTATCTGTCTATTTATTAACAGCCAGAATTTTTTAAAGATTTAAAGTATAAACCAGCCTTAATCTGACAAAAATTACAAGTTTTCTCCCTATAATTATACATTCTTGTTTTTAAACTATTAATATAGTCTTATTCATTCACATATGGGTTAATTTTATAGTATGTATTTGAAAGTACTTCTGTAATCTTGTACAGTTTTGTTTGAAAGAGTTTTGTAACATCTAACCAAAATTAAGTATAGTCATGTGTTGCTTAGCAACAGGAATGCATTCTGAGAAATGCATCATTAGGCAACTTTGTCTCCTGTGAACACCATAAAGCACACTTACACAAACCTAGATGGTACAGCCTATTATATACCTAGGCTATAGGGTACAGCCTATTGCTCCTAGACTACAAACCTGTATAGCATGTTACGTACTGAATACCATAGGTAACTGTAACACAATGGTAAGTATTTTTATATCTAAACACATCCAAACATAGGAAAGGTACTGTAAAAATACGGTATTATAATCTTAAGGGACCACCATCATCATATATGCATACAGCATATGACTTTATGTGCTATCTCATTTAAGGCAAATATTACCTTTTCCAAACCCACTTTATCATTGGCATGCCTGCAGGGCTTTGCAGACACAATTCTAATCCTATCAGAATGTTACAGGATGGTGCCCGAGAATCTGTATTTTTAAAAAAGCTTCTCAGGCAATTTGGATGATAAACCAAATTTGGTAATTCCAGATGATATAAGCTAACTGGAAGAGACAGTGGGCAAATCACTAAGAAGAACCTCATATACGGCTGACCCTTCTCTATAAACATCAAGAGACCGTTTCTACTGTGGTATGCAACAAGTGACCACAAAAAACACAATCTTCATTCTTACTTCCTCTCTTGTTACAACTAATAAATACAGACATACAACCACTGCAAAATAAACAGCAAATATTATCATATTTTAAAGTGTGACTTCAAAAATATTACATGTCTTGGAAATTCCATAGACACTTCATCTACGTCAACATAAATATATTTATAGACTTAAAAAATCTCTAATTTTTTAAATTCTTAAAAAGATTTAATAATTTAGAATGAGTCCAAAGTATAAACAATTTTTCTTGAATTCCTAAGAGAAGCTGCTATTAAAATTGGAATGTCCACTACTGACCCTTCTGTGTTCCCTACTGCTTTGCATCTATGACAAAAATTGTTCTTGAAGATATCCTGTGCTGAAGAACTCAGCAAAACAGTTTGGGGACTGTGCCCCACTAGGCATAGGTAATCTATTTCCACTTCTGTGCCTCTGTTTATCTTTTCATGTATCTCTTCTGAATTCTTACATACTCTTTAGCAGTCATTTGGTTCTCATCTTCTTATTTGATAACTTGACTCCAAGTGTATTTTTGGTTATTTCTAACAAAATTAGTGTCTACCTGGTAACCAGGCTTTTGCCTTGAACCATTTTATACATTTACTTAACACAATGTTGCTACATCTGCAAGTGACATACACACAGAAGAGGAATGCAAATTTGCTGATATAGTAACAAAAGTAGTAGGTATATTTTCTGTTTGATCTATTTATAAGACTTATTTATATATATATACATATATATACTCTCAAACACTAATCTTATTTCAATGGGTGTTATCTTTGAGTCTTAATTAACTAATATCCAAAGATACTTAAAAGTCCCCAAAAACTATCTTCAAATATCTAAAGGGCCATAATGCAGAAATCGTATGAACCTTATTTTGTATTCCCCAGGAGCAATAAATACATGTTGCAGACACAGAAGTCAGTTTGAAATTAGGAAATCTCATCACTAATAATTCTGAAGAGCCTAGATAGCAGCTTGTCAGAGATAAGGTAAAGAGAAAAAATATAAGGAAAAATAAAGACCAAAGATTTGTGGGCAATAGTAAAGGAGTAGAACCAAACAGCCACATAGGTTCTTTTTAGAACTGAGGTTAAGAAGGATTTGTCTCATTTAAAATATTCCTAAACAATCATTTAATTTCTATAATGAAGATATCTTATTTTAGAAACCAAATGAGATTATAGCAATTCATATAGCCTAGTGTATGTGTGTGCATGTGTATTAATATTAGCATCTGAGATGCACGAGTTCAATTATAAATAAAATGTACTAACATAAAAAATTTAAATCTCTGACAAAAGTAGATAAAACACTAATTTATAAAGAAAGAGAAAGAGGAAATTAAGCACAAAAGCCTCTATTCTGATGGTTGTGAAATCGCCATTATGGTGAAGTTCTGAAGTCATCATATATTATTATACACTTATTCCCTGACCAGGATATCATCAGTTACAATAAAAAAGATCAATAAGACAGACAACTCACCAATGAGCCTCAGTATTGATGCTATAATAACATCAGGAATATATGCAATGTTCGCATGTCCTTTTCTGTATTTTATCCACTTATCCATAACAGGCCACAGCTCCTTACTATAGAACAACAACAAAAAAGATACACACTCACCATCACTCAAATTGTAAGAACTTATCTTCTAAATGGTCCATAGGCAATTAGCGAAAAAGAGTAACTGCTAAGGATCTACCATTTTAAGTTAAAATAAGAACAGGTATTGGAAGCTTACATCTTCTCCAACTATTCAGGATATCTTCACCCACACTGACTTAAAAGAGGCTACAAAAATACATGTTTTCATCATTTTGTTTTGACTCTTTTTATAAGGCTTTGCACGAAGCTGAACAGTGTCCCCAAAGTCACAGAACTAGGAAGTCATGGAGTCTGTATTTTCGTTTGGACCCTACAGGCACTTAAAGCAGCCCCTGAGTTCCAGAAGCCCACAGTTACCTGGGAGGATCACAGACAAATAAAGCTATGTGTGTAAAAATAGCTAAAGCAGAGGAAAACTGTAATGTCAATAATCAAAACACACTTTACATGGACAAAAAGAAAATCTTTCCACTGACTGAAAATAGTACCAATTCCATGTTGCTTTCACTTTTTTCAAAAATGTATTTACTTTTTGCAAGGCATTCACAATATATCACTAGAAAATTTAAATGCAAACAAAAGAAAAATAGAAATTAAAAGCACCCCAAATAACCCAGTCTCTGATAATCATTACTCTCCTAATTTTGGGCTTTTCTTCCAGATACTCCTTGCTCTCTCTGTGGATGTAATCAACCTGGAAAGAGCCATGAAGTGCTGAGGAAGGGAACAGGGTGTGCAGTTGCTCAGGCAGAGACCCTTGTATTTGACACTGTCCTCACCACTGGTGGGGGGATCGTGGACAAACCAGCTCTGACGGGGATAGAAGGGCCCCTGCTTCCTGGGTGCCCATGAAGAGCCACAGGGACATGAGGCCCACACAGTAGGCCCTCACATACCATCACACAGACTGGCAATGGACAGACCATTCTGTCACTCTCTTATTTAGTAACAGACTGTCAAACACTTTTCCATGTCAATACATGAAAATCCACTTATAGCCCTGTATTTTAATGTAGGTATTAATCTCATTATATAGCTTTACCATGATTCAATTTCTTATTGTTTGACATTTAGATGTCTAATCTATTCTTAGTGTCAAGGGAGTGAAAGAGAGTGACAGACATGCTTGTACACAGATGGATCCTTGCACAAGGTAATTTCCATAGAATATATTCTTCAAGTATCTAAATGATATGGATTATCAACCCTTTGATGTATCCTTTTTAATGTCACAAACTCCCTCATATCAGCCTTTCTCAGCATAATTAACACCTACAGAAAAATTATTAGAGTAATAATTTTCTCCCAAAGGTGGCACATAGTGCCAGGGCTACAGATGCACAGAGAAAAGTTCATTTATTACATACAATGGATGCCTGAAAGTATCAGGCTTAATTCTCTTCCAGGTGAGAAGAACTGCTAACCTATAGTTTGAATATTTCTGTTGATTTGGGTTTTCCTAGAGTATCTGTATGTTAAGATAATAATCATTACATTTTATTCAACACAGGTTTGCTGAGTGCCTCCCTCATGTGGGCACTGTTCTGCATGCTGGGCTATGTCAGTGGACCAAATAAAGCCATCTTACTCCCACCCCCTGATAGTCATTTCTACTGGGGACAGAGAGAATAGTAGAGTAAAATAAAAAGTATTGATAGATACTGAGGAAAAGTAAAGCAAGGGAATGTGGTAGTGTTACAGGTATATTAAGGGTAGTTTACTCTTATCCAATAAAAATGTCATCTGTAAATGTTTCAGCTGCCTTAAACACTTAAGCAAAAAAAAAAAAGATTCAAACCAGAATGCATTTGAAACCTTAAAATTTGTACCCCCATAATATGCTGAAATAAAATATAAAAAAAAAAAACCACAATGCAGCATTCAAAAGAATATCTTACAATACAAATAAGCCAACTTTATTTGAGTTAGCAAAATAGCTAACCTTATGATGTTATCATGTGTCCAAATCCATTTCTGATGGGAGCAGAGCAGATCAATGGCAAATATGTATTCCCACGTATTATCACTTAGGTCTTCACCAAATTTTTCACTGGACTGAAATTCTGTTTTTGGACATAACTGTATGGTCAAAAGCAGCTTAGAAACCATGAAACCAACATCTGCAGGAGCATTCTAGCAAATAGAGAAAAAACAAAATAAAATTTGGAGTTTCAAATATAATATGTCTTTTGTTAGTTATCTCAAAAAATATAATAAGCATCAGATGAATAATCACTTAATCTTATAAAATAGCTTTTTGAGATAGTTGTATTTTGAATAATGATCTATGTTTATCTTAGTCATAATACTTATCATGAAATGATTTTAGCATGGTAGTTGATCAGCCAGATGATAAAGTCACAGTTAGGAAGCAGAATCCAATCAGGTAGAAAAGAGCTTAGCTATAATCCAGATTCGTACAAATATTTTCATCAACCCAAATAAAAGAATTCAAGTTAGAAAGTTAGCCATAATAAAAAGATTAAACCTTTAAAAAAGTCTTTTTTTTTTAGACAGAGTCTCACTCTGTTGCCTGGACCACAGTGCTGTTGCATCATCACAGCTCACTGCAATCTCAAGCTCCTGAGCTCAAGCAATCCTCCTGCCTCAGCCTCCCAGGTAGCTGGGACTATAGGTGTGCCACCACGCCTGGCTAATTTTTTCTATTTTTGGTAAGAGATGGGGTCTCACTCTTGCTAAGACCAGTCTTGAATTCCTGACCTCAAGCAATCCCCTATCTCAGCCTTCCAGAGTGCTCAGATTGCAGGCATGAGCCACCATACCTGGCCTAAAAAATTCTTTAAGTTCTATTATCTTTCTGACACTATAGATCAGCCTACCTTTTCCAGAAATTCATAAAATTGAATCAGATAGTAATAAATTCTTATGTATGGCTTTTTTCACACTTCTGTTTTTTGATATTTATTTACATTGTTATGTATATTAGTAATGTGAACACTCCTTTTCATTGCAGAGGAGTACTCTATTACATTACATATCACTGTTTATCAACTCGCCTATCAAAAGACTTCTGGGTTATTGCCAGCTTTTGGCTACTGTTATTTAATAATTAGGTTGCTATGAATATTCATGTATAAGTCTTTGTGTAAATATAAATTTCATTTCTCTTAAAGATACCTAGAAGTGGAATTGCTGGGCCCTTTGTAAGAAAAGATTTAACTTTATAAGAAGCTACTCAACTGTTTTCCACAGTGGCTACATGTTAGCAATCCCAGCAGCACTGTATCAGAGTTTCAGTATGACAACAATACATATGCAATACAGGCTTAGCATACTCAGTACAACAAAAGGCTTGGGCTTAGAAATTTGCTTTATTATATGAAGTGCTCAGTATGTTAACCTGTGACTTGGGGATAAATATTCTGAAAGGTTTTCATTTCAGTTTCAAGCTTTCCATCAGATAACCCACAACCAAATCATGGTCCAAGATAATCTATCCAACAGCTGAAACTTGGCCAAAGTGGTAAACATCCCCCTTAGGGAAGTCAGTGACTTTGCAACCTGAGAAGACACAGAAATAACTTTAGACACAAAGAAAATCAAATCTATACATTAACTCTTTTGTATTATATATTTAAGAATATATTTTGCAATAATTGTGAACATGTGATAATCTGTATATGTGTTATGTATCTGCATAAAAGTGCTGAGAATCTGCTATGTTTAAGTTGTGGTTATAGTTTGAAGTATTCAATATTAGAATCATGATTTTAATTAGAAATATTTAAGAGAACATAATTAAGTTTGTAAACAGTGTTGGAATACTTACTATGACCTCTACATCCTCAATTGACATTTAACATTCAAGAGCTGCTTAAAGTGCTTAGAAAGATTTTGCTTATTCAATTTGAAGGTTTAGTTTCAAGTATTTTTGAGGAATATATCTTAAGTTTAGGAATACTTTAAAAGTTTAAGATAATTAAATTTTAATAGTTTATAAATTATTATTTAGATGTTAATTTGTTAAATATATGAATTGAAGTAACATTAATAGCAAAAGTAAAAACATTGTTACATTTGTCATAATTACCTGATTTATAAATGAAACAAGATTTATAAATTTAAAGGCTTTATAAAAACGATTTATGAATTTACAACTTTAAAATTGAGTAGTAAGTTAAGCCAAGTAGTCAATTCTATATATAGAAGACCCTTAAGGATCTTATCAACTCAATTGGAAAAACTTGGGGACATACCACCCTGAAAAGGCCAACTCAGGGAAATACTTCCTACCATGGTAATAGTAGGAATTCCTAATTCATCATTTTAAAAACTGAAAATAATTTAGTAATTTGCATTGACGATAATACATACCTTTGATTTCTTTTTAACTAGCAGTATTATATTTAATAAGTTTCCTTCTATTTTCTATTCTAGGAATAATCCCATGGGGTTTCTTCTTTTTCAATTATATTGATTTCCTGATTCTGAATTCTCCTTGTTTTATTAGGATAAACTCTATTTAAAGTATTATTCTTTGGCTACATTATGAAATTTACTGTTTTATTTGCACTTTTTATACCTAAATGCCTCACTGAAACTGGCTTTTTTTGTCTTACGCTATTTTTTATTGGGTTTATTATTAAAAATGAACAAGGGACTTTAATTTGCTCTTAAGCCCAAAATAGATTGCAATTACTTGGTTCTTTAAAGATGAGACAAAAATTCAGATGGCACCTATATATGTCTTGTTTGTATAGTAAATTTTTAATCATCTTTTCAACCCCTTTATTATAATTAATAACTGGTCTACTAACATGTTCAAACCCCAAAGCTATTTTTGAAAATTTTTATTTTACTGGGAAATCATCCCAGGTCTCCCAATCTGTTGCTATAGTGTTGCCAGTAGTCGTCTTTTCATTTTTTATTCTGTATCTGTAGTTGTATCTTTTTTCCCCATTTCGAATCTTCAATATTTTTGCCTTTTTCTTTTTTCATTAATCAAGACTGAGTTATCTATCATTAGCATTTTTTAAGCAGCGTTTTTACCTTCTTTGTGTTTTGTTTGTCCTCTACTTCATTCCTGTTACTTTTTAAACGTTATTCCTTTTTCCTAGATTCCTTCTCGTATTTCTAATTTCTAAGATGAGTATCAGCCAATTTCATTTGTCTGCTTAACAATGAAGATATTTAAAATATCTTAATGAGTATACGTTTTCCAAAAAACTAGAGATCTTTAAGGTTTTTCCTTTTCACTGATTTTTAAAACTGTGATTTTACTTTTCATATTTTGTTTCCAGATTGTCCAAGACTATGTATCTCAATTTCAAAGTAAATGTAAGTATTTTTTATGAAAGCTTTATTTATGTTTAATTTTACTGAATTATTACCAAGAAATTTTGTTTTTTAAATCTTTTTTTAAAAACTAATGTTTTCATGTGGCCAAACTTATGACTGATTTTTGCTAATGTATCATGGACAATAAGAAAAATAAATATTCTTCATACGCATTTTTAAAAATAAATATTCTTCACAAGCATTTTTATGTGACTGAATTTTTCTACGTCCTTATTTATTTTTGTTTACCAGATCTGCTTAATTTTATAAAAGAACATTTGGAAATCTTTTATCATAATGGTATTTTTCCCCGAGTATCTCTCACCTTTCTTACACTATTGACTTCATATTTTTATTTGCTATGATATTTAGTAAATAAATATATTTATTAAAATAGTATTTTCTTCAAAAGTAGTATCTTTTACCATTGAATTGCCATATCCTGGTGAATTGTGAACAAGCCAAAGGAGATGGGCTCTGGTGTGCACGTGGAAGGACTAGGCAAGAGCAGAGGCGCCCGTGAAAGGTAGCCCTCCAGAGGCAGATAATTCTCCAGAGGTAGGCAACTTTCCAGAGAGGACGTGTGTGGCTGCAGGTATCCACAGGTAGGAGTCATGAGAACTTTTCTGATGCTAAATGACTGACTGGAATCAGTGACTCTACCACACAATATACTCTGGTGTATCTAGACAGACTTGCTTTTCAATATTTACCTAATTTTTAATCATCAATAGCCCTTTCCTTTACTTTTTATAAAAAATAAAAGCCTAATGACTATTAACATTAAAAAGTACTAAAAACAAAATGCAAAACAGCATATAAAATTCTACTCCACACCAAGCCAGGAGAAATTTTTTAAAAAGGAAAATAAAACATGCTAATTAAAAAAAAGAAAAGAACAGATTCAAAAACTCAATCCCTTATTGACAACAGTACCTCTTCTTAAAGTTCACTGTCAATTGGATTCTCATTGGATAAAATCTATGAATGAAAAGACACCCACCTAGATACTACTTTAACATGTCAATACTAAAGAAAAAATAATAAAAGTAACATGGGAACAAAGTACTTAGAAGAAAAGCAAATTCCATCAACTGGAAAGAAACATACAGAATATCAGATTCAAAAAAAATTATAATAGAAAGAAACTGAGATATCAATTTTTTTACCTCTCCAAGTGCCTATTGTAGAATCATAATTTTATAGCTCCTCCAAGCCCCTTTATACATATATGCATATGTATGGATTTTATCATCAGACATAAATTAGTGTATAAAACAAACTCTATTAAATTAACACAATACACAATAAAAAAATTCTTTCTGGAATGTCTCATGAATACTTAATGAACAAAATGCATAAGCCTAGACTAAGTTCATATCCTAAAAGATCTAATATGAAGAATAGCAGCTCTAAAATGCCTATGAACTAATACAAAACTAAATATGTAACATTTATGTAAGATCTATAAGTATGGCATTATAAGACATAAAAACAAAGCTCACCTTTTCCCAATTAAGAAAAGCTCTCAAGCAGTTCAGAACCTCTCCTTTAGCACGATGCCTGGCAACTAACTGCATTGCTTTATTAATCACCGACTGAGAGAGAAATACATCATGCCACATGTTTGCAATAAACAAAGTCAATTTCTCAGACTCTGGAAAATCTATAAGAAAGAAAATAATGCAATAAACCTTTATGTCTGATCAAGTGAATAAATTACAAACTAAGAATAAATTCTATTAATTTCATTGGTGCCTTGCAAAGCATCATGCAGCTGAAGAGATTATAAATAAGTAGCCCAGATGAGGCCCTGGCCTTGATTATTTCAAAATCTCCTGCTTTTTTATTTTCTTTTTAGCAGACTCTCTTTACATTTTAAATATAAATGTTTAGGAAAAACTCACAATATTTTGAGTTTTTCCTAAAAGACACCACAGCAGTCAACACAGATTTCTGTGACCACGTGTGTGGGGGCGGGGTCCAACATCAAGCAGTGGACACCAGCTGGGTGTCCTCTAATTCGATTCCAACACTATCTACCTGGAGACAGTGTCAGACCCATAGATTGAGGCTCAGCCCTCAAGACTGCCGCTGCTTCAGACCCAGTCGTAAGTCCTGGCCTCTGGAACTTCTGACTGACCAGCTATAAATTAGGAATCCCATGACACCCTCTTTGGGTTTGATAAATTTGCTGGAGCAGCTCACAGAACTCCGAAAAATACTTAACTTATGTTTAACAACTTATTATAAAGGACATTACAAAGGATACAGACACAGAGGTGCAAGGGCGAGGTATGGAGGAAGGGACTGGGAGCTTCCACACCCTCCCTGGGCACGCCACTCTCCAGGAACTTCCACATGTTCAGCTATCCAGAAGCTCTCCAAACCCAGTCCTTTTGGGTTTTTCATTATATAGGCATGATGGACAACCGTGTACAAATGTGACTGTATAAAAAGGGTATGATTTCATATCCTTTTCTCTAACAGCCTGAGTGAGGAAACCCAGGCAAGGTCTGTCTGTTCAGATTCTTCTTGGCCTGTTTGTGCAGCATTCCTTTCCCCAGAGTATGGGGATGGGACCCTCTCTGGAATGAGGGTCTTAGAACCCACAATCAGGTTAGAGTATTGCCTTGGACAGGTAAAAGGTGGGCAGAAGGTCAGAGAGACAGATTCTGTTTCCTGAGGCCTAAAGCACCATAAGATTATAATTAGGGCTACAGGAGTTATGAGCCAGAAACCGTAAATGAAAACATATATATAAAATATCAAAATACTACACAAATCTACAGCTCTGTATGACAAAAACAAACAAACAAACAAACAAAAAACCCTCTAAGACAGAAAGGAAAGGCAAAAATTCTTTCTCCAAACTTCCTCAGTCCCAGAATTCTCCCATTTGATATGTGTCAGTACAAGCAATTTTTATACATTTGCACAAGTTTAACTTACTCATAGAACACATAAAGCTTTTGATTTGAAGAAATAAATATTTTTTATAAATGCTGGATAACAATCCTTTTGTTGCAAATACCTTCTCTTACTCTCTGGTGTGTCTCTCTTTTTTAAATTAACTTAATTGAAGTATAATTTACATACAATAAAATACAATCTTTTTAAGTAAACAGTTCAAGGAATTTTGACAAATGATGTAACCACCACCATCACAATTGATACTCACTGCCCCCAAAGTTCTCTCGCTCTGGCACTTTGCAGTGAAATCACCTCATCCCAGACATAGAGAACCCCTAACTTACTGCTTACTGTCGGCACAAATTAGTTTGCCCTATCTCAAATATTTATGAATGGATTTGAGTACTATGTGTTGTCTTCTGTCTGGCTTCCCTACTCAGCATAATGTTCCTGAGATTCACCCATGGTGTTGCATACATCAGCAGTCTGTTCCTTTGTATGGCTGGAGAGTATTTGGTCATTTAATATAACTTTTTAGTTTTCTCTGTTCTACTTTATCTATTGTCATGCGTCTCAAAAGACTGGGTAGCTCAAAGGATAAATTCATTGCACCATTCTGATCTGTTAATTTTAAATCCTATGTTTATGTGGTGATGCTTCCTGCTGCCACAGGACTTCTGCACTCCTTTTTCCCTCTGCCTAGAATTCTCTTCCTCCCTCTTCACCTATGTCCTTTTTGTGCATCTTCCAATCTCAAGTTTAGAAGTCACTTTAACATTGAAGGTTTCCTTGCCCCTTCGGCCCTTGGCAATTCCCCTTTCTTCGTTCCATTTCTTTCTTTCACCGGTTCTTTCTTCCTTGCCACTGGTTTGGGTTCTTGCTTTGGGTGGACAACATACTTTTCTGGGGTAGGGATAGAGTAGGGACAAGACAAATAAAGCCCTGTTCTTATAGCGTATGCAATCTGGTGTCGGACAGAGACAGCAAACAAGATTTATGATGTACTAAGGAGCGGTAAGTGCCATGAGGCAAATAGAGAAGAACAAGGGACACAGAATGACTAGGGAAGTATGCGAAGAAATAGAGCGAGCCACAGTGAGGTCCAGGGAAGCAAGGAAACAGAACAAGAAACCTATACGCACAAAAGCCTGGGCTAAGAACAAGCTTGCTGTGGTTGAGGAAGAACAAGAAATCCAATGTGGTCTTGGCTGAACCCACACCCCTCTCCATCCTACCACCCTCCACTGCTAACTCAACAGTTTGTGTGCTGTGACTACGGCCTGTCGGCCCACTGGACAATCATACCTGCATCTGATTTTGGTCACCACAGAACTCCTAACACTGAAAATGCACTCCATAATGATTTGTTGAATAAATGAGTGACTGAAAGAGTAAACAAAGAAATGAAATGGGCAACTGAAACACTTAGCAGCTTCATTCATAATACTAAAAGTGATGGATATACTCAATTATCCTACTTATAAAGCTCATAAACATGGTAGTAAAGGATAAGACTTTCTGATGTATTAATATTAAGTTGTATTGTTATATCATGTTATGATTTTAAAATCCTGACGATTTAATATAATGAAGAATGTCTCCCAATCTGATCCATTAGCAAAGACTGAAGAAATAATAGTGAAGAGAAAGATACCAGAGGACAGCCCTCATGTCCCCAACTCCTTTCCAGCTCTCTCTGATCTACTCTTCTCTCCAGCTTATGAATTCATCTTAGGGTTGCTGCCCTTTCTAGCAAGTGGCAAAGAATTTTGGCTTGTCACTTACTTTTAAAGTATTCTCACAGTTATGGAAACTATATCTGTTCCTAAAGCAGCTGTACAGGGTATAAAACAAATATGCAGTGATGAGAGATATTCTATTTATTTATAAGCCGAACGTATTATGGACATAAGTAAGTTTAAGTAAATTCTCCTACTGAAAACCAGGAGCAGGCAGGTATAGCAGCTAAAGCTATAAATGCACAAAACATAATTTTAAGAAACACACAACAATCACATAGCTGAAAATACAGATCCAAGTATAATATAGTAAAAAGGCAACAGTATATTTTTAATATAAAAATGTCACAATCTAAACATACCTTCCTTGAGTAGACTGTAGCACAACAAGCGAGCTCTTTCCAAGTCTCCAAGTTGCCGACAAATACCCACATACACTCTGCAGAGGGCATGAATGTAATTGTGGTCTGTAGACATCTTCTGAATTTTTAGTTCTGAGAGAATAGAGTGAAGCAAGCATTCTGCTAAATGCTGAATTGGAAAAAAAAAAAAAAGGTTTATTTATCTTTCCCCTAAGAATAGCTAAAAATTATAAAATTATGTATTTATTGGAAAAATAAAACTTGCACAATATCAGAAGGTAGATGACAGTAATAACTGGTAAAAAAAATTGACAAGTATGGCAAGTCACAAAAAATGGGGTAGGGGATATCTAAGAAATGACCACAGCCGTCTGTTTCCTGTGGTTGGTAACGCTGCAGATGCCAGAGTGCATGACTGCACATACTTGGTTGCCTACTGTCACCAACACTACTCAAATAAGTCATAATTGCTCAGTTTTTGCTAAAATAATCCATATGTATGTATGTGTATTAAACTCAGTATAATTCTACTCTCATTCTTGTTTTCTAAACTCTAATTTACTCTACATACTGTTTAGATTTTAAAATACTGAGTAACATTTTTCTTGCTCAGAAAGAAGAGCATTAAATGATAATGATACATTTGTTCACTTCCTTTCAAAATTACTTGGGGAGTTCTTTATACTTTCTGCAAATAAATCTAAATAAATAAATAAATAAATAAATATTTATAACCTAATGACTCCAAGTATATGCAGATAACCACTTAAGTATGATCCATTGACCACTGGAAATCATCCACACAAGGTACCAACAGATATCTAGAAAATGCAGAACTACAAAATGCAGAACTACAAAAATCCTAATAAACTATATATATAAATCTACACAATTCCCTTTTCCCCCATCTTTAAATCAAATATTTGGTTCTGTTTATATTTGTGATATCCACTACTGGAGAGTCTTTCTGTAAGACTATCAAAACACTAAAGTGTGTTTATACTACTTTTAAAGGAAAAGGGATCTATTATATGATACTCTGAAGGAAATTAGTTTAAGCTTATAAACATGCCTGGATTATGTGGAAATAGGCAAGTTCAGTCATGACAGATACTTTTTTATCTTTCAAATTTTAAGTATTTGAGGAATACAAATGATCAAACCTCTAGTATCTTATCATATTTCAAAGCTATAAAAGATTAGAAATAAAGTATTTGTCATAAAGTTTATATAGATAATTCTCATTTTTGAAATAAAACTTTTGCTCAAGGTCATCTACACATTTTGCAGACAGACAGCCTCTGTCTTTGAGGACATGTAATTCCTAATGCACTTACAGAAAAGCAACCACATACCTTTTTTGTTGTGCTAAATTCATAAACAACTTCTTTTTCTTGATCTCTCATTACAGGCTTTTTGGAGATATTTCCCACATATACATGACTACGAATGACAGGTAACAGATCAAAAGAAAGCTCCGCAATTTTCTTCAGTGCATTGGCTATGGCTTTGTCATGTGACTCCACAGTTTCTTTGGGGTTTAGAGGCAGCTGTGAAACTGTACTAATGGCTGGACTAGAACAACTTCTTTCCTCCTCTGTTGTTACTTCAGCTTGAGGGAGTTTCCTTTGAAGGTTCTTATGGATTCCTTCTGCAGGGGCCCTGATTTCTGGTTCTGGGGACCCACCATCCAGGCGCAATCTTTTAGCACTCCTCAGCGTAGGCGCTGACAATGTTCTTTTCCCACTGGAATCCTGCTGAGTCCTCAAATTTCTGGCTTTATCTTGGCTACCAGAGCTCTGGTCACCACCAGAGCTGTTCCCTGTTTTGACAAAAGCAGTTGATGTTGAAGTGATTGCTTTGAATCCTATCATAGCACTGACAGGTCCCGATAAATTTTTACAGTCAGTGGATGGACCTCGACCAAGCTGAAGATTTCCTTTGAGGATGTTGAGAGTCCGGGCCCTGGCAGACAACTCGGGGTACATGGTGTCAAGGATTTTAACGGAGTTCTCCTGAGGTCCTCCCACAGGAGCATGGCCAGATGCGCAGGGCGGGAGTCTGCCAGGCACAGGAAGTGCATGCTTTGGTGTGGCTGCACAGAACTGCAGAGGAGACGACACTATCCTCTCACCTGCTGATGCAGCAGACGGAGATGGAGAAGGACCCAGAGGAGAGGTGCGCCTGGGGTCTTCTGGCCATGGAGACATCACAGGAGGAACCGGGATTTCACAGAAGGGAGAGATCTGGCTGACGGGAGAGGGTGGTGAGGAAGGACTACAACTCAGTGCCAGGGGAGAAAGTGGCTGTGCAGTCCTTGGAGGGGTGGCTATCAGAGGAGCAAGCAGAGGAGGCAGGGGAGGCCCCACTTCTTGCCGTATTTTACTCAGAGTATCAGGAGAACAATCTGTAGGAGCAGATGTATCAGCATTTGCTAAAATGGTCTGAGTTTGACTTCTTTGGGTTTTTGTATTACTTTTTTCCCCTGAAAATGACTGAGAAACTTCACTCTGATGAGCCTCAATTCTGCTTGATGCTAAAGTCTTTACTGTTTTGTTAGATTGATCTTTGTTTGAAATCTTTGAGCGATTCTTATTTTTGCCGAATGGCTCGAGTTTCGAGTTATAATATGTGTGATCAGACGGAACAGTCTGAGAGTCGAAGTCTTGATCATATATTTGAGAACTAATCCATATACTTGGCTTAACAGGTCTATTCCGCAAACGACTTTTATCAAAGTTGGTGCTCTGAGCACTGCTTGAAACATCCTCTTGGGGACATGAAAGATTAGTACTACTGCCACATGGAGGCTCCTGACAGGGAGGGGCAGCTAGACTGGCCTCCGGCGACTTCTCAACAGAAGCCACTGGGACGCAACCAGCATCCACCCCTCCTTGGTCCTGAGAAACAGGGATGTCTCCAGGAGCCTCACACAGTGTGACCTGTTCCATGGGTGGAACAACAGCCATACCACTAATGACTGTCCAGTTGTCCCCATTCTCAATGACTAGATTCTGATCCTTATTGATAAGCACATTTATAACTTCTGGGGTCACTGTCGATATCTGATACTGAAATGTCGTTTCAACCTCACAACTAGCACTTTGCTCAGTCACTGGCTCCACTGCTGAGTCACAGCACAGGGCTGGCGGCTCTGCAGGCCCTGCCTGGCGCTCTTCCCCACTATCTGCGTGCCTGCTTGCATCTTGGCCATCCTCTGGCCTGTTCTGAGTGTTCTCATTATTAGGTCCACTGCTAATGGGAGAGCTGCCTCCGGTGTCCAAGTCGGCTGCCAGTGGGGGTGGTTCTGAAGTGTGTGCCAAGGAGCTAGTCATCTCCTGAGGTGGAGCTTTCTCTCTTAAATTGTCACTTGTCGTGTTGTTATGTATATTTAAGAGCAATAAATTATCAGTATCTTTACCATCACAATCTTCATAATTTGTTTGAAGTTCTTGCCCAATCTTGGTGAGAACCTCAGACAGTGTTTCTAAAGAACACTGAGTAAACTGGCTTGTATTTTTTAAAGAATCATCATCCTCTGATTCAATCCATTCTTCAGAGGTTCCAAGTGTTTCTTCTTCACAAGGTTGCTCTTCATACTTTTCTCCTGATATTTCACTTTGCTTTAGTTCTTTGTTCATTTCTTTATTTAGGGTTCCTTTACTCGAACATTCTGAAACAGAGTCCCCTGAACTATAATCCCTTAACTGACAACTCTCAAGAAACGTAACAACATCTGATGTAGAAAGTCTGTCTAGCTCAGAAAGAGTACTTATGGTAAAATCTTGCAAAGCTGAGGTCAAATAACCTATATCTAAGGAAGGTCTTGTCTCAGCTACACCAGCACCTGTGTCTCCTAAATCTTTCTGTGGGTCTCCGGTGGCATCTTGCTGCTCACTCCCCATCACAGCTTCAGGCTCATGTTCCCCCTCACTGCAGCTAAGCCCCTCACTCTCCTCTACCTCGGTGTCCTCCTTTTCCTCCCGAATGCCTGTGTAACAATGCAAAGTGTCAGCAAGGCTACTTGGGGAGATACCCTGTGTCTCTCCGTCTTTTCTGCAAAACGCTGAAGAGGTGCTTGTTGTGACAAAACATTCGGGAAAAGCCCCACCAGGAGTTTTAGATTTCAATTTCAAAAGTTCATTAGCATTTTGCAGTATGTTAGAACTGTTTGCTACGGCCGAGGTCTCACAGGGGTCCTCTTCAACAGAAAAACCTCCAGATGCTGTCACTTCTGTGGCTGGAAGCAGCTCACTGCCACCTGTCCCACTTGAGTCTGGATCTGTGGCCTGAGGAAGCAGCTTTTGCTTCTGTACTGTAGCATCTCCCTCTACTACAGCCTCTCCCTCTACTACAGCCTTTCCCTGCACTGCAGCTTCTCCCTCCACTCCAGCTTCTCCTTGCACTGCAGCTTCTCCCTGTACTGCAGCTTCTCCCTGCACTGCAGCTTCTCCCTGCAATGCAGTTTTTGCCTGCACTGCAGCTTCTCCCTGCACTGCAGCTTCTCCCTGCACTGCAGCTTCTGCCTGCACTACAGCTTCTCCCCGCACTGCAGCTTCTCCCTGCACTACAGCTTCTCCCTGCAATGCAGTTTTTGCCTGCACTACAGCTTCTCCCTGCACTGCAGCTTCTCCCTGCACTACAGCTTCTCCCTGCAATGCAGTTTTTGCCTGCACTACAGCTTCTCCCTGCACTGCAGCTTCTCCCTGCACTGCAGTTTTTGCCTGCACTGCAGCTTCTGCCTGTACTCCAGCTTCCCTCACAAGGTCTTGGTTTTGGACACAGATGTTTTCAGAAGAGAAAGATAATTCATTATTTATAGAACAGTCAGAATTTTCTACTGGTATAGAATCACTTGGAGAACTGAAATCCAATTTTCTCCTAGAGGTAGAAACTTCTGGTGAAGTGCTTTTCACAGCAGCCACTTCCTTGCTCTTTTGTGATGTATCATCTCTTTCCCCATCACATTTTGCTGTGGATGACATATCATCAGTTTCATTATCACTCTCTCCCGTTGCTAAGGTAGGCTCATTCCCTCGTAGTCTCAAGTGTTCCAGTTCAGCACTTGGAATCTTTTCAGGTCTTGCCTGCTTTGTGATAACTGATACTTGATTAGGCAACAATGATGTGGTCTTAAATTCTACGGGATTATTATTTTCTCTAGGAAGATCAGGCATGGGTACTGGTGCTTCATACTGTAGGGATGGCGCTGCCTTTTGTTCTTGTCCTGATTTAGCTCTCAGACTTGCTTCCCCACCTCTCCTTAATAAATCACTATGGTGCCATGAAGTGCTTTTAAGGAAACCCAAACCACCCTTGATCAAGCCAGCCTGAGAATCTATTAATGATGTGAACTCTGGCTTACTTAGTGCGAGTTCAATTCCTAGATCTTGACTTTCACATTGTCCATCTTTTGTAGCCTTCATAAATACTGACTGAGGAAGTAGATGTATTTTGGTCATGTCTTTTACAACTTTTGTACATTCTACCTCACTGCTCTTCTGATCATTAAAATTAGATGCTCTCAGTTCAGGGCTGAAAGCACGCAAGCTCTTCTCCAGGCTGTTTCCTCCTACAGAACACTCTGGTGGCTCAGACTGCAGATTTAACGTGTTTAAAATTTTAGTTTGTAATTTTTGTTTCAAATGATGCAGTTCAGCAGGGAATACTTTAGTTGGACTACTTGTATCATTAACACACTCTAACCCAGAAGACAACTGGGGATTACTGCACACAGACAATGCTAGTGAGGAAGAGGAGGAAACACTGGCTTCAGTATCAAGCCCTGCTACATCCATTGCATCACCTGCATCATCGTCTTCTGATTCAGGTGATTCTCCCAAAATGAACCCTTGCATATCCTCTGTTTCCCTTTCCATTTCTCCAGATGCTTCCCGCAAATGGTCAGAACCTGTTACACAGTCTGATTCAGAAGTGATTTCCTTAGTTAGTGCCCATTTAGTAAACTCTGACTTGGGTGATTCTATCACTTTGGACAATAGGGTTTTTCCTTCAGATTCACTGGGTTCATTTAATGGCCTCTTGCCAGGAGGAGAATGCCATAGCTCCAACTCCCCAGGGACAGCCTCGTTCCCCTCTGCTTGGCTGCCAGACAACTTCTCAATGCCCAGGCTTAGCGTGGGCTTAGGAAATGTCCTCTCAGTTTGCACTGACTTGTCCTTTCCCCTAATCTCTGTCTGTTTTTCTGCCTCTTGCAAAATGTCTCTTTTTCTATCACTCACAAATTGAGATGACATTGTCCAGTGTTTTTCATGAGCTAAAGGTTCTTTCAGTGCTGCTGTTGAAGTCTCAAATCCAAGAGTTGTTGTTTTGTTTACTTCCAATGTACTTAGAGCTTGAATAGATCCATGAAATTTGGGGTTTTCCTCCGATATACTACTTTGTTTATTTTTTCTGAATGAGGCAAAATAATTCTGTGATTCAGTTGTATCATCTTCTGAAACAGACTCAGTAGAATTTCTAAGCTGAGCTGAGTCATTATCGCTGGAATCTGTACACTCTCCAAAGTAGGTTTCCTTAAAAAAAATATGAATTTTACTAGTAAAACACTAATTCAACAGACCAAACATGACTATCAATTAAATGCATTTTTTTTTTTTTTAAAAAGGACATGCTTCCCAAAGAATCCTTAAAGTCACATCTGAGAAAGGGCAGTGTTGGCAGGCTCTAGAGTCTCTAGGCAGTTCTCCATCTCTGGTATGACACTGTTGTGCCCTCTCCCTGAAGGTGCCTGGCCCTCACCAGGGGCCACCCCTCCAATATTAGACACTCTCCCAAGACCCACACCCTATTACTCCACACAGAGCTGAGGATTATGTTTGTTCTTTTAACTTCCAAACATTCCTACCTCCAACCTCTTACTTCTGCACCTTCTGGTAACAAAGCCCCCAAGACAGATGTATGGCCTCTGGCTACACAGCCCTCTATCTTCCTCTTTGTCCCATGCCTCAGACTCTCAGCCAGTACAGCCTTGTCACTGCTCAGGGGGTGTCTTGTGGATGTATTCTGCCACAGGTCTCCCCAACACATCCTCACATGAATGCTGCTCCCTGGCTGTTGCCATCAACCATACCTGTGCCATCCTTACATAGCTCCCTCCCTCCCAGCCCCTGTCCTCCAGCCAACTAGTACCCACCTCTGCTCCAGAAACCCCAACTAGTCTTCTCCTTTCTGTGCTAACTGCCTCTAGCATGTGCCCATCTGGTACATAACAGCACCAACCACCTTGTTGCTATTCAGCAAGGGAACAGGGGAGCGGTGAAGATTAACAACTGCTGACTTGCTCCTACTAAAAGAAGTCTTTCCTCTTCTGAACTCTAGAGCTGTGATCCCCAACCCTGGGGGCAGCAAACCGGTACCAGTCCATGGTGCTTTAGGAACCAGGCCACATAGCAAGAGGTGAGTGGCAGGCAAGCAAACAAAGCTTCATCTGTATTTACAGCCGCTCCCCCACCGCTTGCCATCCCTCCCAGCTCTGCGGTCCATGGAAAAATTGTCTTCCATAAAACCAGTCCCTGAAGCCAAAGAGATTGGGGACCACCATTCTAGAGGACCACTACTTCTTGGCTCTCTTGTCCTTCTTTTCAATCTCCTTTCCTTTCCCCTTCTCTACTACCTGTCTCTATTTATATAAGGACAGTTCCCCAGGATTCAGACTGTGCCTCCATCCTCTTCTTCTACATACTTACTCGATGACATCAGAGTCAGACGGCTTCTGCTACACTCAGATGCTGACAGGCTCTAACGATCTGTGTCCCACCAGTCTCCCTCTAAGCACCACACCTGTGCACACACATACCTAGTATCTACTACTATGTAGTATCTACATCTTTGACTCCTCCAGCTCCCCTAACCACAACATTGAAAATGTCATCAAATGCTGCTTGTGTGCTCTCATAACACTCCAAACCAGTCCCCACCTCTTTAACACTAATGCCCTAACTTGGGTTCAGGTGTCAAGAATCAAGTGAACTGCCTTTCAAACCACTGCCCGTTTATAGTCTCACCCATTTCCTGACTGTCCCCACTCCCTGTTCATTCACACTGTGACTATCCTGAAACTTTCAAATAAAAATCTATCTTCAAGCCCATTCTTTGCATTCATCAAGACTTCCCATTGCCTTCAGGATAAAGTGGAAACTTGTTAGGAGGGCACACATGGGTCTTCCATGTGGTCTGCACAAATGTTCCCCAACAAGGTGCTCACCCTCAGTCCTACATGCTGTGTGAACAAACAGCTCCTGCCAGAAACGCCCTCACTCACTCTCCAAAACTCAGCTGGGGAAGCCTGCCTTCAGAAGCACACTGCATTCCACCCTGCCCTGGTCTCCATTCAGGACGAGCTTCTTTTCTGTGTCCTTTTCGAGCAGAGTGTTTCTCAGCAATGCAGGGCACAGCAGAGCCCTCATCTGCCCCCTTACTGGTCCACCTCCACAAGGCAGACCCAACAGAGCAGCAACTGCATCCCCTATCATCTCTGACTAGCCCAATGTCCGCAACATAACAGATGCGTGATGTTTCCTAAAGCAAGACAGTGACTCCAAGGAGCTGAACACATTTATCTGCTCTTTAAGCCAAAAAGTATACAAATATGCTTCATCAAGACTAATTTCCTAAGAAACTACTATAAATCACTCTGTAAGCATATAACATGATGATGAATTCATCAAATAAAGGTAGAGAACTCAGTTACACTAGGTTAATGGGCATATATACTATATACATGGATTTTCCTATCACTATAAAATTCCATGCATACAAATATATATTTAACTTACTCATTTCATATTTATTTTGTGCCAGGCACTAGAGATAAGAACAATGAAGACAAAGTCTTCCTACAGGAAACTTATAATTTGATTGTGGATAAAGACAAATAAAAAATGCAGCCATAACACAAAGTGAAAAAATTCAGGTCAGGCACAGCAGCTCATACCTGTAATCCTAGCACTTTGGGAGGCTGAGGCGGGAAAATCACTTGAGGCCAGGAGTTTGAGGCTAGCCTGAACAAGAGGGAGACCTCATCTCTATGAAAACTAGAAAAATTATCTCGGCATAGTGGTACGCGCCTGTAGTCCCAGCTACTGGAGAGGCTGAAGTAGGAGGATTGCTTGAGCCCAGGAGTTTGAGACTATAGTGGGCTATTATGAGGCCACTGCACTCTAGCCTGGCAGACAGAACAATACTCTGTCTCAAAAAAAAAAATCACCCTATATATGTTGATCCAAGGGGTACTGGCATGCCTTTTTAAATTCTCATGTTACTCCTTAATAAAACTTGCTAAAATTAATAGCCTTTGCCAGAATCCCACAAATACCCTTTGAGTATCAATAACATATTAGGATAGACAATGTGTCCACTTGCTAATTCAAATTCAGAAAACAAAACTCACAGGTGCAAGTGAAGAAGGTAAGGAAGCCACGTGTGGTGACATCAGAGGGGGTGACGGCACTGGTGACAGAAGTGGAGGGGGAAGTTTGAAGAAATCAATTGCAGCTTGAAGATCTTCATCAAAAAAATGATCATGGTCAGAAAAGTCAGTACTGTCACCATCATTATGACTCTGCATTACAATCTCAGGATTCCCAGCCTCCTTAAAAACACAGTCAGTACCATAATTTGCTCTACCAGGCCACTCTTGTTCCACATCTTTACATGAAGATAAATCATCCTCTAACTCCATGGACAGTTCTGTGAGGCATGACTGCACATCTAAGGACCTGAAAGGACTTCCTTGTGCTGGAGGTAGTGTGTCATCTTCCCCAAACACTCTGGATCTGGTGTTTTCTTTGGAAGATATTTCTGTGGAAAGGTAAAAAAGTAGGTATCGATATCAAGAAAACTTACAAAAAAAATAACCTCATTCTAAGACTTTAAAATGCTTGTAATCTTAAGTCTAAGTAAGAATCATTTTTTATCTACTCAATTTTTCTTTTATTTTTTATTGACACATAATAATTGTACACATTTGAGGTTATGTGTGATATTTTGATACATGCATACAATGTGTAACAATCATATCAGGGCAACTGGGGCATCTATTACCTCAAACATTTATCTTTTATTTATGTTGGGAATGTTCTAACTCTTTTCTTCTAGCTGTTTTGAACTATACAATAAATTATTGTTAACTATAGTCACCCTACTGTACTATCAAATGCCATATCTTATTCCTTCGAACTATATTTTTGTACCATTAACTAACCTCTCTTCATCCCACCTCTACCCTTCCCATAAGTAGAAACAATTTAAAAAAGGCAGCCAATTGCTTCCTGAACATTATCCTAGAAGATGTATGTGAATTTATTTCATATAAGTATTCTACCCTTGCAGTAAGAAAAGTGAGACAGATAGGCAGATGGGTAGATAGATGAGATAACCCACCAACTCATTACTATAATGCACAGTTGGAAAGGCATTGGCAGAAGTGGTCATGGGCCTTGTTAACTCACTCATTCTCTTGGTGAATCTTACCATATAACTAGCAGAATTTGGCAGAGAAACAACTTTGTGTATATAGGTTGAAAGGGACACTATTTTTCTGTCCAAGAAGTTATCTGAAATCAACCACTATTAAGCCTACCCCAGGCCATATCTATACAGTGTTCTAATTGAGAGACCTAACAAGGTCACCTGAATACTGCACCTGAATTCTGCAACAGAAAAGTTCCTATAAAAAGTAAAGCCAACTCTTTTGGGTCTTGATTTTGGTGAACTCCAGTGGTACTAATTATTAGCAAAGACAATGGGTCCATAATCATTTGTTATATTTGAAAGCTTTAAAAAAAAAAGTTTTACAAAGAATCCAGGGCTCCTTGGACAAGTGGTTGATAGCTGGGGAGGGAAAACACAAGTTGAGACTGAAACATCTTGAGACAGCAAAAAGTAAAGTACTCAAAAAAGGATGCAGCATGTCTGAAGGGTCCACAAGACAATCTGAAGAAGTTCTCACAAAGCTAGAGCAATTCAAAGAATAAATAATGATAGCACTGAATTATAATGTATAGAATAAGTATCTCTGTACTGTACTGGCATAAACAAATAGGTTAATAAATAAATAAATGGAGAAAGGACACAGCTCTTCTTTATAGAAAAAATTCTAATTAATAAATACAGAAGAAATGAGAGAAATACAAAAATCACTATTTGGCAAATACCAAAGCAGTAACTGTAGCAGGTAAAAAAGATCCACTGATGGATGCTAAAATCAGTGGGTGACGATTTGAGAGGAAACAGAACATTCGCATATTATTAAAATATCTTTCTCAAGTTAATTCGTTAGGAAAAAAGAGTAACTTTACAATAAAGAAAATTGCAGACACCATCTTAAACAAGTGATCAAGGTTACCATCCCCAGTGATAACACTTCTCTCCAGCACCACGCCCTGAGCAGAGGGAAATATCTGCACTGTCCTTGCCATAAATACACAGCCTTAATCTACAAGAGAAAATGTTAGACAAGCCAGAACAATAGGCTTTCTACAAAATAATACTCTACCAAAGTGTTAAAGACATGGGAGAGGAGGAAAAACCAAGAAACTGTCAGACTGGAGATTAAAGCATGATGACTACTAAAGGCAACTGGGGTCATGGACTGGACCCTGGAACGGAAAGAGCATATCAGTGAAAAAACTGGGGAAATCTACGGCTTAGTGAATAGGACTGTACCAAATGTTCTGGTTTGGGTCATTAGTAATGGAAGATTTGAAAATTTGGGAAATCTAGGTAACGGTTCCAAGGAAGTTCTCTGAATTATTTTGTAACTGTTCTCACATGAAATAAATAAAAAGTTTTTTTTTTTAAAAAAAAAGTATGTTTTATAGTATAAGGTACAAAAATACCATGCTTTCCCTTTCTACCTTGAAAAAATTAACATAACAGACTTATCCCTCAAAACTGTGTTTTTAAATAAAAACATCAGATTACTAACTGAATGACTGCCCTTTTAATATCATAATGTCATAAAACCAAGTGCGTAAAACAGACGACTGACCAATCCTCTGGTTGTTTCTGCCTACACAGATAGAGAAATTCTGAACTGAAGTGACTAATCTAGGAGTTGCAGGCACCACCTGGTTATTATCAATGCTATTACCTAATAGGTGAACTGAGGGGGAAATCTATTTGAAGGAACCCCATCAAATATGCCTTTGTATACCTGACAAGTTCTGGATTCAGCATAAATACGAATCAGTAACTTGCCTACTGACATTTTTCTGAGGGAACTTTGTCTTCAGAAGCCTGAGAGGAAAATGAAGTGTACATGTTTCTATAGATTCAGATCCTCAGTGATCTGTTAATTCACAGCAGCTAACCATAAGAAATTAGTAAAATGACAAAAAGTTAAACAAGAAGCACTTTAATCTTATAAACAAAACAGTTATCTTCCACTCTTCGAAATAGGCATTTGGTTAATATCTATTTACAAACCCTACAGCGACTCTTAACTGTGAATTTGGTAGAATGCTTCTGTGACATTTTACTGTAAATCAAGATGCTCAGCCAAAAGGAACTGATAGTTACATAAAAACAAATAAAGCTGGACCGGGCATGGTGGCTCACGCCTGTAATCCTAGCACTCTGGGAGGCCAAAGCGGGTGGATGGTTTGAGCTCAGGAGTTCAAGACCAGACTGAGCAAGAGTGAAACCCTGTCTCTACTAAAAAAAATAGAAAGAAATTAGCTGGACCACTAAAAATATATACATAAAAATAAATTAGCCGGGCATGGTGGTGCATGCTGGTAGTCTCAGCTACTTGGGAGGCTAAGGCAGGAGGATAGCTTGAGCCCAGGAGTTCGAGGTTGCTGTGGGCTAGGATGACACCATGGCACTCTACCTTGGGCAACACAGTGAGAATCTGTCTCAAAAAAAACACCAAAGAATGAAGCTAAACTGCTAAAGGGTTGACTAAACTCATGAAATGATCTAGAAAAAACTGTGCATCTTTCAGGTCTTCTGTATATGCCTGTCCAACATGCCTCTATATCTGTCCTTCCAGCTTCTTTGAATGTTCTCTGAGGAAAACTCCTATTAAAAGATGAAAAGCTAAATTCATTTACTGAGGTTCGAAGTCACATGAAGGGAAAGGCATTTTGTATAATTAAAAGTACCCATTCTAGTTTATTCAATTCTTTTCATGTAGAATCAGGAGACACTAAAAACTAAAGGCTGCAATGTCTATGGTAAACATTTCTATTTTACCAGAAGTACAGAAATGTACTTCTGTAAGCTTCCCTCTTACCTAGGACACAACTGCTGTCTTCACCAGGTAGTCTGGGTGTTGCGTTTACACAGAGCCAGAGTTCCTTCAGAAGCAGTTTTACTTTTCCTGTGAAAAAGAAAGCATTACAGTCATATCATTTGGCTCAGCCTACACAAGACCAAAACAACTCTGTGAAATCAGATTTATTAGGGACTAGGTAACTAGGTAACTTAGGGAAACTAGGTAACTTAAACCTCTTCCCCAAACTCAACCATTACGCACAATTCATTAATGGGAAGGGCTGTAACATTTTAAACAAATTTATCTTTGGCCCATATATTTTCTCCACATAATGTTGTGAGATAGGGGAAGGAAGCAGTTAATGACCAATACAATACAAGGGAGTTGGGCTCTACAGAGTCTATAAAGAAGAGTAGAGAAGCATCCCTCAGTTAGATGAGGTTACCAGAAAAGTCAACAGAGTTGTGCATGCTATAATTAACCTGGTGGGGGTCCACAGATCGTAGCAAATCCATCAATGGAAATGAGGTGGGAGACAAAATGTGTGTGCATGAGCATATGGAGAGGAACAGATAATCACACACAGCAAACAGAGAGAGGCACATGCTTTCAAAAGGAAAGTAAAACCTTTCGAATTTATATAACTTTTTAAAGGAGTCTGGATTCCTAAAATGGTTAAGAATCACTAATTCAAGTTGAAAGGCCAAGGGCAATTGTAACAGCCCTAATGAAATTAATGTAATACCAAGAATATTATACTATGGTTTTAAAGCTTTTTTAACATTAAGTATGCAGATTCCAAAAAACCTTCCAAAGCAAAACATATTCATGAGAATAAATATGAATAGCCTGTGGTGAAATGTATATAAAAAGACAACTCACACTGATTAAAATTCAACTAAAAGTAGCTTTGAATATTAACTTACTTTCAGGTCACCTCAAAGTTATCTATTATAGTTTCCTTAAACTTCAGTTTTTAAATTAACCATAGCATTTATTAAAATTAGTGAAATTTTTAATCTAATTCAAGAAAGGCTACAAAGACCAACCATTTAAACCAAAGCATCTCCAGGGAATCACAGATTTTGAAATTGGTTAGCCCTATTTAAGCTGGCAAACTGTACCACTCCAAAAAATGAAGTCTATAGAAAGGGACCAGGACAAATGAAGAGGGCAATTACAGGTAAGTCTGAAAGGCTGGACGTTCCCAACCTCTTCTGAGTCAATTCAACCTCTTAAATGTCACTGCGTGCGAGGCATATCCATTTTTGAATTCAAAAATTCTGGGATTGCATAGCTTATCTACATTGTGATTTAACCTACCCAAAAGCCTGCTTCCAAATACTGTAATCCCCTTTGCTTAAATGACCTGACCAGGATCCCTGCTTATTAGGTATACCCAAAGCAGCAAACAAGGAACCTTAAAAAAAAAGAAAAAAAGTTACTTATCCATTCTTACGGAGGCTATTAACCAGACCTACGTCTATTCTGAGAATCATTACCTCTGATCTGACCACAAAAACAAAAACAAAAACAAAAACAAAACAAAAAAAAACCCACTATCCATTCCCAACAAAGCAGAAAACAAATATTCAGTGTTTGGTGTGGCTTTATACTTATTTGTAAAGATAAAACCTCATTAAATTGAATTGTACCTTTCCTTTAATCAAACTCTAAGGTATTTATAAGTATTTCTGGACTTATGCATTTATGAAATTTCTTTTCTACTCCATTGCCTTGTCAGTTTTTGTATCAATACCATACATCTTAAATCATGATAGGTTTATCTTGTAATATCTGTTAGGACATGATCTTGGCTCAGGTTTTTCCTTTTCAAAAATTTTACTATTCCAAACATGTATGCTTCCCGATAAACCTTCACCATCTGCTTGTCCTTTTCCATAGAAAACCTCAATGGGATTTTCAGTGAGTCTGTATATTTATATTCAGGGAAAATGTACATCTTTATAGTTTGAGTCTTTAATGCTCTTCAGGAATGGTTTAGTTTTCCTCATAGAAGTACTGCACACTGCTTTTAGGCATTTTCCCAGACATCTGCTGGTTCAGCTGCCATGTGAGAATAGGTTGTTCTTATTCCACTTCTTTTCTGACAGGTTAATAATAGTACATTATGTAAGTTCACTCTATATACTCACTTTACCAAGTTCCTATTACTTCTAATTCTGTTTCCAGCTTAGTCTTCTGGATTCTCTACATTAGTTATATAATCTGAAATAATAACAATTCTCTTTCTTATTAATATTTACAGCTTCTACTCTTATGTGCTTATTTTGCTGCACTAGTTAGAGCCTCCAGCATGTGAGTAATGAAAGTAAAAAAACCATGTTTACCTTGTTTCTGACAGTAATGACTACACTTTTAATGTTTCAACTTTCGCAAGTTCAAATTGTTTTTTATTATTCCCTCACAATTTTTTTTTAAAGGCATGGGTGCTGAATTAGCATTCTCTGAACCACCTATAGTATTCCTGAGATGAACTGTTAAGACATAATTTGCTTATTCTAAATTACTCATGGATTTGATTTCTTAAAACTTTATTATTTTTGCAGCTATATTAACAAGTGACAAAAGTTCTGAGTCTTGAGAATGTGTATGTTATTCATAATTGGTTTCGGCACAGAGTTATGCTAGCCTAAGAGAATGAGGTGGAACCATTCCTTATTTTCTAAGTTCTGAAACATAAAGAGACTAGTTTTTCACTGAAAGCTTTGCAGAACTTGTCCACCTAAATTTATTATGGTCTCTTTAGCAACTATTCTGAGTCAATTTGAGCATCTTTTCCTAGAAACTGGTCCACTTCATCTATATTCTCACATTTAAATATGAACTTGTGAATTAGGAAATTTCTCCACTGTAGTTTTATAGCTTTCTCAGTCCTGGCACTATTGGTTTTTTTGTCCTTTTCTAGATCAAACTTGCCAAACAGTTGTTGGTTTAATCAGCATTGCAAAGATCCAGCAGTCAGTTTTAAGGGTCCCAAACAAATTGCTTTATTTTCTATTTCAATTAACTTCTATTTGCATCTTCATCAATTCCCTCCTTCAGCTAAACACATCATTTTCTGTATTTCTTGATTTGTAAAATGACCACTTAAGGCCATAAAACATTCCTTTCAATATCAACATCTTGAAGGTTTTAATAAATACTGCCCTATTGTTTATGTGCAAAACAGTTTAGTATTTCAGTGTTATTTGCTATCCAAGAAGGTTTTGTGTTTATGTGTGTTTAGTTACTAGGTAAATTTTGTAGGTTTTGTTTTTGTAGAGGAAGGGAGATTTTTATTAATATCTCATATTAAGTTGTAGATTTTTTGTTATCTATTAGTCAACTATTATATGTCTGCAAAATGTTTTAAAGAACTCTAGGTATGTAGTTTACAGAGTTGTATATAAATTAAAAATCTTGGAATTGTGATTTCAATTCCACTCATCTGCTTTCACTCTCTGTGTGTGAGAAACACTGAAGCTTCCCATGATTAAGAAGAGATATGGCTATTCCCCCTAAAATTTCCAAGAATTTTGCTTGACACAGTTTCATGCTCTTACATATATGATAGAGTATCTTCTTAGTGAATTATACCTTTAATCAGCCTGTTAATCATGTAAATTCATTTCTAAGTTTGAATTATTTTTTGCCTTATATGACTGCTCTGATGTTAGCATTGCTTGAAATATCTTTATCAATCCCTCTATATCCAATCTTTCCATTTCATTTGCTTTTAGGTATATTTCTTACAAACATGTCAGAAAGAGAGACTACATGCAAAAATCATGCTCTACATATATGAATATTGTATGTGTTTTCTGCTCAGAGATGTTTCCTTCCATTACTTCTTGACCTTCTCTCCTTATGATTCTGTTCTCCCGAGTCCCAATAGATAAATATTGAAACACCTGGCTCTACCTCGCAATCGTTGTATTTTCTCCAGTACCTTTCATTTGTCTGTGGCTTTGCATACATTCTCAGAGGCACCTAGAATTTAATCTCTTGGTTAAATGAATTGATCTTCTATTTGTCCATCCAACAGTTCTGCTTTTCTACTATTTATTTAGGCAATTATATTTTTAATTTTCAAGATCCCCAACAGGTTCAATTCCATAGCAGCAGCCTATGGATATGTTCTTTGATTTTCTCTAAGAATAATAATTCAATTGTTAACCTTTTCTCATTCATGATTTAAAACTGTTTCCTCAGTCTTCCTGCATCTGGTGCCTTTCTTGTCACTGTTTTTCCTCTAAGATTTAGATGCATTTAGGCAGAACATCTTTGGAAGCCAAAGGATATTTCTGTAGCTTACATTTTCAGTCCTATTTCTTTGGAAATAAATGTAGACTCTGGTTTCATAAACCTATAGAACCCTGCCTCTGAGGCGTAATCGGCAGCGAGTGAACGCAGTTGTGGGGGTTTACATGGAGTATATAAACATCTTATTTTCTGGGGACAGGAGGGACTATCCCTCAAAGCAGCCAAAATTACCCAATTTTTGGACAACCACATCTACTCTGGGTACCTTCCACGTCATAGCTAACACTTTAGAAAACTTGGGCCAGTCTATGGGCAAGGGCCAATCTATCGGCAAAAGCCAGAAACAGTTTTTGAAACTAGCAGGTTGGCACGCTTTTAACCCTTTAATCAGTTACCTGGCAAAATACTAATGTCCTGCTCCTTCTCCTACTCTCTGCCACCTCTGATTTGGGGAAACTCTGGACTTCCGCTAAACTTGCTTTTTCTGAGCTGCTATTTTCTTTGCAGTTGTGGGTTTCATCACCAATTGATACCTCTTCCTCATTAATCACTTCGGTAGGGCGCTCACCGGCCGCAAAACCTGGCTCACAGCCAGCACTCATGGTCCGCACGATAGTTTGTGCTGTGCACTGACCACGAATCCATTTTGCTCTTGTGTGATGAGGAAAGCTTTTAAGCACTGAAAGGTTTTTTTACTTTTCCGGGCGGTTTTCCTTTTATTTTAATTCGGATTGGTTACCTTTTCCTTTATGTTTTTATTACCTTATTTTTAAATGTTCACAATTTTATTTTGATAAATGAAAAATTAAAAAAGTCAATTCAAAATTATAGACTAAAGTCAATGCTTGGCTGTGCGCATTCATCTGTGGCTATTGACTATAGTCAACGCTAGTACCAAAGTGGTTAATTTCCTCTATGGATGGAAAACTTTTTAATTATCCAGGAGACCTACTAAAAATATATTTTTATTTTTGGTCATTTTTATTGGAATCTGAAGGGAAGGAAAGGCAAGGATGCACTTGGGTAGCCTTTTTGTAAAGTGAAGTCAACCGAATATTCTTTAGTTCGTAACTTACAAATCTCTTCCAGAAGTCAAGTGTTAAAAAGGAAAAATGTTAACAATACACTTAATAATTAGGTATTAAACCCATCAAGGTCCACAGCTAAATAATTAGCAGATTCCTAAAGACTTCATTTATTTATTTGGAGAAAATAAAATGTACAACAAACAACATCCATGCCCTCATCATGATGATATATAAAAACAAAACATAAAATAATTTTACTTGAGGTAGTAACAAGATCTTTGAAAAACATCATACAGAATGAAGGGATAGAGAGCAACTACGGAAGCGTGTAGAGGGGCTCTGCTGTGAATAGCAAGGCCTGGGAGCAACTGAATCCTGAAACACATCTGTCAGTCCGAAAGAGAAGGCGATTCAATTCAAAAGCTGACTGTTGGTTGGAAATGCAAATGTTGCCAAGTCTTCTATTTCTCTCAGCAATCTCAAAGTCTCACTTTCCATACACAACAGTAGGAAGAACAGAGTAGAAAGCACATGGAATTATTTATTAGTGATAGTGATAAGTGACCAATTAGTGCCCAGGCAGCTGAAAGATGTGGACTCTTAAAGCATTAGGCCAAGAGAAAAATGAACTTGTGCGCTGAATTAAATTTTTAAAAATATTTAAAGAAGAAATAAAAAGGTAATGGTGACTTAGAGACACTATACATTCGCACACAACAACTTAAATGTTTTTAATCATTTCCACTTATAGAAAAACAACACATAAGTGACATGAATTACCATTACTTACATATTAAACACTGAAAATTTATCCCCCCCAACACTTGTAAGATACAGCGGAAATTCAAATTCATAATCTCCATTTTTAAGAGGGAGAATGAAAACACAAAAAAAGGGAAGTAAATGGCCAAGATCACACAATAAATGGAAGTATTAAAGTGAAAACTCCAATTTCTCACCTTCTCAAGTTAGACTTCTCGTCTACAAGGCACTCAGTAATAAAATGTGCATGTACACATTTGGATTTCCCTTGTTCCATTACCGTCAGTTTACTTTTCTTTTAAACTTGGGGCCTTCCCTAAATTCTTCTATCTTCTGAAAATATACTTCAGGGCTTTGACTCTATAATTTTTCTACCTGACTTCAACATTTTTTAGATATTTGGTACCTAGGGAATTTAATGAATCAATTTAACCAATTATAATCTAGTGAGAAAATCAATACTTATTAAAATTGTAAAGTATAGAAATTATATCTCTAACTAGTTTTCCTTTCCCAACAATACTGCTTTTGATGCTTTCATTCACTATAAGATAGTAAGTTGACCATATATTTGGACCTAATGAAGACACAAAATAATTTATGTCATCTTTCAACAGGAAACATCTACTAAGCCCTGACATTTTCACAATTACACGTAAGAGCAACACGCAGCCTTCCAAACCACTAAAAGTAATCTACAACATTAAAACAAAAGCTGCAATATACTCACTTTTATCTATGCTTCCATGTGAATCATTTGAAATTTGTGTTCCAATATGTCTCAACTCTAAAAACATGGGAGAAAAAAAAGTTTAAAAGAATACCCTGCATATGAAAACAATTCTTATGTAAGCTTTAACTAAATACTCACCCTTTTCATTTTTCTGTTTAGAAAATTCGTCAAGCCTTTCCTGTGAAAACAAAGCACTAACACTGTTTATGCTGTTTAAGAAATGCAGTCATTCTGGACCAAATGTAAAAGAGGTGCAACTTAACAGGCAACTGTGACTACCTCTGCCAGGTGCTCATGCCTGACGCCTATATAGTTACAACACAGAGACAATACAGGAACCTTGGAGCCAGGAATTTAAGGTCTGTGCACAGTTTTTTTATCTAGTACCTGTGTCTTCTTAAATTCTTTTTCAAGTATTTTCTTTTCATTTCTCAGTTGCTTGAAGTCCTGAGTTTGCTTGACGGCAGCCTCTTCATTTTAAAAAGTGCAATGAATCAATAGAGAGAGAGAAACAATTTACTAACTTTACTATTATGCTTAATGAAATACTCAAAATCTAATCTATTACAAGTTTTTCTCATTTCTTAAAACTTTGAAACGAACTTTGAACAAATTTATTGTTCTTTCAGTATTTTATCAGTCAGGGCTGAATGCAGGAAGACTTCTTTTTTCACTGTCATTTATAAAACCATAAAAGTGGAATAGGCCTTAAAAGTCCTTTTCAAACTAGGCACAGCCATCCCAAACCCTTTTAGTCAGGCAAGAGCCCAGCACATGATAGGAGGTGCTGTGGTAATCCCTTGTTATTCCTAGCTCAGTAATCAATAACCTTAAAAGTCTGAGAAATTTTAGAACTATGATTCTACCTCAGAATATAGTTGACACAATTGTCTATCAGGTGGGGGAACAGGAGAGCTTCTCAATGCTTATTATACATATTGCTCTTCTTCCCTGGAACTCTAACAAGTTAACAAACCATAATTCCTAAAACCTTTGTTATACACATCCTCTTTTTAGTTATTTTTACAGTTCTTCTCTGGACTTTCAGCAACTCCTTCATTCTAGTTTTTGGTTCTGATGCACTAAATGGTTCAGACACACTAGTAAGATCTGACCAATTTTAGCTTTACATAAATGTGCTCATCCACAATTACTAAGAAAAGTAAAATCCCATAAAACACCTTAGTAATAATCATCTCTTGACTCTTCTAACGGTTTGAGTATTTCTTTATTTAATAATTTTTATTATGCCATATCACTTAAAAATATATACATATATTTGTTATATGACAAATAAATGCTACATTTTTGCTTCACAAAAATATATTCTAAAAGTTGTATATAGTCTCACAGGCATTTCAGGGCACTTTAAAAACATTTTCTGAAATACAGTAGACACATCTCCACATCCAGTAAGAGAAGCCAATACTCAGAACACAGTAATGCTGTACTAACTGCCATCCTGTCACGCAATAATCAAATCAGAGGAAAAACTGTTTCCAAAACTATTTATAGAGTTTAAGTCTAAAATATTTGGCTCAATCTACATAAACAAGTGACTAGAAATACTTCAACACCTACTATTCTATGTGCCCTGATGCAACTAAATTTAAAGTCTTACTTCACACTCCAGATGAAACTAAACCCCCTCTGAAACAGAGCACCAGCAGTGCCGTGGGTCAGAAACCCACAGCACGTAAGAAAGACTGTTGCCGTCCAGGCTGGAATGCAGGAGAATCATGTGCGGAAGGGATCTGGCAGGGCCCTGTTTCTCTATCTGACATTATGCTGGTGCCTCAACCACACAATGAAGGAAAGAAAAAGCAAATGAAAAGATCCTGAGTTCAATTCCTATGGATTCAGGAATCAGAAAGGGTTATTAGCTGAAATGCAAGGACTTGATAGATTCTTGTGTGGCCCCTTTATACTCTGCCTACTCATTATAGACTAGACCCTAACATGATGGTCGGGTACAGAGAGGATCAGATACAAATTAGACAATCCCCAGTGTAAAGAATCTCACAGAAACCTCTCTATAAGGGTGTTATAACTATCTAAATACATTAATTTCTTAATACTATGCATAGTAACCTTTTCTACTAACCTTATATTTCATTAGGAAACAATGAGAAAGCCCCATGAGATTCAACTTTCAAAATTAAACCCTTTCATTAACTACCGCTTTTATATCAAAAGTATGGCCTACTTCTACTACGTTGAGTGCAATAACATCTCAGAGATTTGCCACATTCCATCTCTATGTTACAACCTGGTGACTGAGGAGTATAGTATGCACACACCTTTCTAACAGACCCCTTAATGTAATCATTCCAGGATGTGCCATCAAAAACCACAAGGACTCAATCATCTGATCAAGTAGTATAACCTCATAGTTACCAATGATTTGCATAATGACCAATGACTTCCATTAGCCAAGTAACAATAGTGCCAATTACCTTCCAGCTTCTTCACCTTAGCTTCTAATTTCTTCTTCCTAATAACAAAATTTTGTAAGTTAAATTGCAAAAAATAATGTAACAGAAAAAATATGATATTGCAATTTGTGATAGGTTTTTTAATAACTGAGATTTACATAACAAAGAAATTTTCAGTTCTGATGGTATAAACCTAAGAAAGAATAATGTTCTATTTAGTGTGCAGTATCTCTACAGTGAATTAAAACAATCTGTCTCTTTCATCTGAAACACATGCTATGTACCTATCCAGGCACTGTCACGAGCACATCTGGGACCTCCCCTGCACTACAATGGCATCATCTAGGAGCCTAGCAGATGTGTCCAGATGGTCTCCAAGAGTCAGTCCAGTGCCTAATGAGTCAACATTACTTTTCAGGAGGATGAATGGTGTTATGTTCACAGCACCACTTTATGGAAGGCAGTGGTTGGAGAACTGCACTGTTTTACGATGGATTTCTGAGAGTTGAAGAAGGAAGTAACTCTGAGTCACTGCTATATATCATCCATATTTAACTACTGTATGTGTAGCTCACATGTATATTTTGTTAATAACACGAATGTAGTATCAAACTTCAAAATCAAGAAGATGCTTTTGAACAGCCCTTTTTATCAATGGCAACAAAGACACCCATTCCACATGATATCTGTTAAAGTACTGGTGCAAAGAAAAGAGCCAATAACTATAATTTATAGAGACACACGTGCATGCATATATATAAATATATATATATATATAAAGAGAGAGAGAGAAACATAAAAACTTTTACGGAGTTCTTTGTGTAGCTCTTTAATAGATGATGATTTATTTAGTCTTCTTTGTAACCCTTCAAAGGAGGTATAATGATTTAAAGATGTGGAAACCAAGGTTGAGAGATTAAATAATTCAAGATCACTCAGCGAATTATGGGCAAAATGTCCAAAGACAGATAAAAAAGAAACACTACTGATTTAAAGATTACCTATTTTCAAAGATGAAAACCTTATTTCTATAGTAATTTTAAAATCACTTACTGAGCATCACTTTTTAAGCATTCTTCTTTTACCCGAGCATATTCCTGATGAGTATCCTGATACAACTTTAGAGAACTCTAAAAAAGAAATAGATAAATGTTGTCAACTGAAAGTCACTGACCATTGGCCATAACTTGTTTTGATTTAGATAAGCTAAATAAATTATCATCCTTTAACAGTGTGAAATTAACCGAATGAATTAGGCAGGAAATCAAAGTACAATTCACTGAACATGTTAATGGATGTAACCCAGATTCTTTCAATAGATGTAATATGACTAACAGTATAATTAAACAAAAGCCATAAAACTTAAAACAATATACTAATTTTGCAGTAATTCTTAATCTTTCTAAAAATTGGTTTAAATATCAGATAGCTAATACTTTTGTCTCAACCAATTAAAATAAATATAACTTTAAGAAATATTAGAACTTATTAATATTAGCTATCTGCATAGCTATGAAAAATATAAAATCATTTTGCTTAACAATAACTAGGAAAAATGTGTGAACAACACACTGGCAGCCACTGTGAAATGGAAAAGACATTGCTATTGAGGGTTCCATTATAATATATATATACAATATTACTTTAATCTCAACAGCTCTAAGAGATAAGCTTTATTACCCCTTTTTTACAAATGAAGACTTGGAGGGTTTGACAGGTTGACTTATTCTTCCAAAGTCACAGTGACCGAGTTACTAATTAGAGTTTACTATTAAGTATAACTCTGATTATCATTAAGTATGATTCCAATGCTCATGCTGCCTCTCAAATATGGCTGAAGAGTTTATATGATCAAGGTTTAACTTTGACAGCATAAATATCTAACAATGAATTTCTACAGAATAGAAAAACAAATATGTACTGTCAAAGGTCTTGAAAAGCTACATGCTCACTACTAAAATAGCACAATTTGAAGAAGACCAAGAGGCACAAATACTCTCATGAAATGAACCTAGAAAGAACAGGTAGAGAAGTTAAGAATCACTCCAGGGTAACTACAATTTGTCTCATTCAAACCACCTAACTTTATGGACTTCAAATGTTTTTTATCTGTAAAAGCTATGAATTCTCTTCTAAGAGTCCTATAACAAGTAAACCAAAATTTTATACAGAACAATTTTACAGCATTTTTAATTAACTCTTTTACTGTTAGGTCATTAAGTATGAAATGTATGATTTCCTGATATTTGACATTTCACTTTGACACTTGTATTTTTTTCCTATTGTGAAAGTACATCCTATCTTTCAAATGTGCATTTTGGCTTGTGATTATCTTTCATGTTTTTTAGAGCAATTTTTGTGAAATCATGGATAAGACAAAAATTCGTGTTATTTTTGCGTATGAGGTCCATCAAGGAATCAATGTAGTGCAGACAACTTGAAATATCATCCAGGTATTTGGGAAGGATGTGGCTAATGAACATACAGCATGTCAGTGGTTTGAGAAGTTCCATTCTGGTGGTTTTAATTTTGAAAGTGAGCCATGTGGATGACCTGAGACCAAGGTGGATAATGATGAGCTGAAAGCTGTAGTGGAAGCAAATCCATCTCAACCTCCCCATGAATTAGCAGCAAGGTCTGACATTACTATTCCAACAATATTGGACCAGTTGAAACAAATCGGCAAGGTAAAGAACCTGAACAGATGAGTACTGCTTGGATTAAACAAGTGCCAGAAGAGAAATCTTCTTGAAGCTTGCCTTTCTTCCCTGTCATGACATAAAGATGAACCATTTCTACACGGTATTATTACATGTGATGAAAAATAGATTCTTTTAGACAATTCCAAGTGTTTAGCACAATGGTTAGATGAAGATGAAAGACCAAAACACAGTTCAAAACCAAATATTCATCAAAAAGAAGCTAATGGTGTCTGTTTGGTGGTCCAGCACTGGTGTTATTCACTCCAGCTTCATGAAACCTGGTCAATCGATTACCATGTCTACTGCTACCAATTGGACGAAATGATGAGGATGGTTGTAATTAAGATTAAGCAGCCAAGATTGATCACCAGAGACAGGCCAATCCTCTTGCAAGACGACGCGTGACCACATCATACAAACAACACTGCTCAAACTACAGAATCTGGACTTGGAAACTGTCATCCACTGACCTTGCACCAACTGACTACCACTTTCCCAGCCTTTGACCACTTCTTGAAAGGAAAAGTATTTAATTCTCAACAAGCTGTGGAAAACGACTTTAGTGAATTCACTGTTACTTGCTCTCCAGGCTTCTTCACTGCTGGCACAAATAAGCTACCCTTAAGATGACAAATTGTGTCGATAATTTAGGTGCATACTTTGATTAAACTGCACTGCTTCTTGTTTGAAATACAGTAAACTTTTGATTCAAAATCAAAATTCATATTTAATGACCCAATATAAGTTGATTTGAAAAGAAGAGCCTCCATTTAAAGATACATTAATCAGATTTTCATATCTGAAGTGGACTTCTCCCAGCGCTCCATCTCAGCTTAGTAAGTATCACCCGAAAAGATCAAACACATCATCCTCCTGAGCATGGGAAATAACCTTTAACCTGAAGGCTTACTTATAAGAACATGTGATATATTATTGAAAGACTCTCTCATTTTGTGCATCTCTCACAGAAGGTAAGCCCAGTAGTGAATGAAGCACTCAGGGCCTCTGCCTTGGTCTGCATTAAGATGTCCTTTAAAGAACCTGCTCTCATAATTCAAACTATTCAATGTTTCAAGCAATGTCTGTTTACTTTTACCTCTATAACCCTGCTACCTTTGACCCTTTTTAAAAAATTTCTCTTTTTTTTTTTTTTTGTTTCTTGTGGCTTCTCTCACCACTGGGCTCACCAAGGCTAGACCAGAGCCACTGAAGAAATCAAATTTTCTCCTGTACTCACTCTCTCACACATGATTCCTCCACCTTTAAAGTTGAAATTTTTGCATGTTATTTTAGTTAAGGCAAAAGAGATGCGAAAAAGCAATTAATGCAGAATACATAAAACCATAAAAATTCACAGCTAGAAGTTTCCTTTACTGATCCTGATCCTCCCCAAAAGCATAGGAACTGACACAGTATTGCAGAGCGAACAATCACTCTAAAAACTAAGCCAATTATCAATTAGTTCAATGTTCTCTAAGGACAGTAATACAATTAAAGAGTCTTCACTAGTATTCATTTCCTTTTTTAAACACATAAAAACTCCCCTTGTCGGGGGGAGGGGGGCGGGTATATACATGCATAATGAGTGAGATGTGCACCATCTGGGGGATGGTCATGATGGAGACTCAGACTTTGGGGGGGGGGAATGGGCATTTATTGAAACCTTAAAATCTGTACCCCCATAATATGCCGAAATAAAAAAAAGAAAAAAAAAAAAAAAAACTCCCCTTGTCCCAGTTACAGTGAAAGAGCTGATCCTAATTTATTGACCATAAACCTTTTCAGAAAAATCATTTTAGTTACCTTTTTCTCTTCTAACTCTGCTTTTAAAGATCCCAGTTCTTCCTGACATTTCTGCAGAGGAGAAATTTTTTGAAGCATCTGTTCCACTTGGTGATGCAGAGTACTATTCTCTCTAGAAATGGACAGTACATTGACATTATACAAAAGTATCTATAGTGAGTTATTAAATATATATACTGACGATTTTAGATTTTACTTCTAACTTGGATCAAGGAAAGGAATGAAAAAAATCTCTTTTTACATGCATTTCTTCTGTTCATACAACATAATCATCATATTGCTTTCCATTTCTTAGGCATAGTAGTCTATTTTTGGTAAACATATACCAAAAGCAACTTGAGAAACAAATACAGTAGATGCTCAATCTGCTGAAGAATACATTAGAGGACAATCTGCCAAAAAATCCTGGCTTTTCCCATCTTGAACTCATCCCAGTTTATTCAAAGTAAGTACTAGGCAATTTCCTGATTTAGTTTAGAACCATGTTTTGCCTTTTTCTAAGTGATAAATGTAATCAGAGGATGAAATATTGCCAAAACTTTAAGTAGGCCTATTTTAAATTGTTTAAATTATCTCAATGGCAATGTAGTTAGTAAAGTTATTGAAAAATTAAACATCAGGTTGTAACTTAAGACCTCAGTAATAAATTAATTCTAACAATTTGATAGTAGGAAAACACAAATCTTCTTTTATTATGAGCATGAAAGCACCACTCAATATTATGGGTCAATCTTATTTACATTTTGTTCAAATTCATTTAAAAATCTGCTCTAATAAATGTCTACCCCAAATCAACTCCTCAAATAGGTGGTATAATCAACTATGAAAACAGGTTGGCTCACCTTCTTGCAAACTGCAGCTGTATAACTTATTAAAGAAAACTCTGAGAATTTTACCTTCTGATACTTTTCTGGAGATAAAACTCACTTTACGATTATCTTTAATAATCTGTATTCAATGTGCATACAAGGAAGATCATGAATCCTAGAAAACAATGTTCAAAGTCTCATGTATAATACAGAAGTCTTTTTACTGGGTTATTCTTTTACCATAACATCTACCAAAAGTCAAAACATTTATTTCTCTAAATAAAAAGTCCTTTAAATAAATACATGATTAGAATTAATGAATAAAGACAAAGCAATATGTAATAGAAAATATCTTCATTTGTGAATATTATCAGAACCCCCAACCTGTCCTTCATTTCTCAAGTAGTCCAGAGAATAATTCCAGCAAACAAGAGTTATGCACTTACAAAAATAATATATAACTATACGAGTAATTAGGAAAGAAATAGATTATAAAATTTACATAAGCCCTCAGTTTTATAATTATACAATCTGATAAACTCATTTTCCCATCTCATACTGCCAGTAAATTATTCTAAGACAGTAAAAGATAATTCCTTTAAGTTTCATCTCCTACAAATTCCTATGTTTATATCACAATATAGCATATGCATATTCATAAAAACATTGTCTGCATCCTCCTCTGTTTAGAATATAAGCTTCTCAAGGTAAGAACTATATTTTATTCATCCTAAATTATAGCAGCCTTTGCAGAATAGATAAGTTCAAAAAATATCTGATAAATAATATTTTCCCTGCCATTTAGAGTGGTGATTAATAAACGATAAAATATTCAGAATCACACACAAAAAAATAAGGCACTGAAGTAATCCTAAATTATCAGAGTACAGTTATTGAAGAAATAACTTTCCTATTTTGCAAAAAAGGGGAAAATCTATTGGTACTTTTGTAGCAAAAGGAACCAAATTATATAACAAAGACATATTAAAGCTCTGACATTAGCACTTCAAGTGCATTAGCACTTCAAGAGCAAACTACTGCATATTTGAGATATGATAAATACTTTGGTGCAAATGCCAAATGTGCTTTTAGAAAAATCAAGTATTTATCTGTAGCTGAAGCTGAAGCCTAATATCCTACTATAGAATGAGTTTCTGAAATTCAAGAATAATCCAAAGTTTTATATAGTTTAAAAAATTCTAATAATTTTTATTTAAAATTTTTGTGGCCAAAATTTAGAAGAGTAAAACAATAATTCTGTAGTAGAGTACATGTGTAATTGCCTCAAAAAGCTTATATCTTTTCTCCAAATATGATACAATGAATGCATATTCTCCTAATATTGGAATTGCCCATCTATTTCCCTATTTAGCTATCTAAAAAAGTTATATTGTTTCCATACAGCTTTCATAATCAAAGATATACTCTTGCAATAATATACATTTATAGTTAAATAGACTGAATGTTTGAACAAATAAAGCAAGATTTTCAATGACCTCTATTTTTTAATGTAAAAATTCAGATACTAAAAAGAAATCTAAACGATATATCTTTATTTTATCACTTTAATAACACAAATTAGATATGATAGTACCAACACAAATCAATAAATGGTGATGATGTATAAGTTCAGGTATGCCAGAAACAATATTGAAGCAATATCTGGTTATTACCAAAGTTGGACAGCTGAATCTGTCCCAATATTGAAGATGAAGCTGAACTGCAGTGAATCACTAAAAGTATATGTATATTTATTTTTATGGGCGAAATTTGACATTTTTATGGGAGAGATTTAAAATAAGGTGTTATCACCACAAGATATGGAGAGATCAATTACACATACCTTTTTCCCACTGCTAAGAAAATATTTAACCAGAGTCTAAGTGCACAACGGTGCTCATGAAATGGGTACTAATCAAATGGTGACTGTATGGCCAAGAACTGTCTTGTGAATGCCTATGAACTCTCTTGTGAATATACAATTGCACTATTTATATATGATTCAGGATATACACATTATTTTTCTACAAACAGCAAAAACAATTAATGAAAGTCAATTTCCCCAAATTTGGATTTCCCATAGTGCACTTTTTGCAGATTCAAAAATAACATTCAGACAGTATTACATTAGGTTTCACATTATTCCTAAACCTAAAAAAATATATCCTCAGAACAAATGAGGAAAACCCACTCATTAAATAGCTTATGAGACCTTAAGAAAATCAAAATCAATGACAAAAACAAAATAAAGATTGCTAGATCTCATTTTTAAACTATCATTAAACATGCATTAATAGTGAAAGCACTAGTTATTTATTGCGTTCGCAAGAAGTGTTCCCTACTTCAGCTGTAAATATTGCCTTCCAAAAGATAAGTATAAAAAACAATTCTCACATCTCTTTCAGGAATTAAGACATAAGTTAATTCTAAAATTCAACAGAAAAAGCCAGTAAAAGGATATCATCGCATTTCTTCTGATATTCTGTTAACAAATTACTGCAACAAAGAAAAGAAGAATTGGGTTACTTTTTTATCTAGAAAATAGGCTATGTTAAAATCATGTTTCAAAACATGCAAGGCACCCTGTCTTCCTAAATTTCCTGAAACAAATTTATGCTAAATATACATATATCAACTTAAATTCCTCGAAAGCATTACACTGATATGTAAGATTTTTAACTTCAAATCCCTTTGATCTAAGTACTATCTTGGCCTATAAATACATGAGACTTGCAAAATTTTTTCAAAAAATTAAATCTCCCACCATGGCTATGAAATATTGCGAGGAAATGTGAGGTCTAGCCCTAAGGCTAAGAAAGTTTTGAAGACAGAAAATGGCTTTTAAAAAAGTTCCAATTTAACAAAAATTACTTCCTACTAACTCATGAGTCTTGTTTTAAGGGCCTGTGAACCACAAACCGAAGGAAGGTTCCCCTTGCTGAAAAGGCTCACAAGCAGTTTATTTCAGTCAGCCCCATCTAGGCCTCCACAGGAGAAACTCCGGTTCTCATTGCAGCCAGAGGGACCTAAAACCACCACCTGCTTCTGCTTCAGCCAGTTTGTCAGGTTTACAAAGTTCTGCCAAACATATGCAAATATACTTACTCAGTGTTGATAATTTTTTGTTTCAAGGTAATTAATGCTTCAACATATTCATTCAAATTCTGAAATACAAAAAACTACAGTCAGCTGTTTATCTTTAACACATATAATTAAGGCAATTATTTTCTGTAACATTATTCACAAAATATAAACTTACTGTTTGCTATATTACATTAAAATATGTAAATTTATTACTTATATTGTATAGAAACACATACACAACCTGAGCCCATGCTCCTACTCCTCTCTAAAACTTGTTCTTGATCTCAATGATGGTAATTCCTTTGAGACCAAGGAGCTGTAAAAATTCTTTTACTGTGTGCTCAGTCACAGAGCTCAATAAATATTAACTGTTTTAGTTCACTGATTAATTATTAAGCATCAATCTTCACCCTGCATTGTTTCCAAAAGGATTTAAGACTACTCCAAAACACATAAATAATAAAAAAAACCCTGGAAAATAAATAAAACGGGGGCAGATAAATAGGAATATTAAAATGGGGCCAAGATTAAGTAAAAAAATTCATTTCAATCTATACTACACTTTAGACACCAACCAAGATTTACTTTTAAATTATTACTATCAATTTGAAAGGGAAAACATCATTAGTTACACCATTCAAATATTCCTAAGATTTAAAAATAAGCTGGTTTCTTCTTTTCTTTAACTTCTTTCCTTTAATGTCTCTTTTTAAACAGTGAAAACTTTAGAAATAAGAACTTATTTTTAAACATAACCACAATAGCCTTTTCACACCAAACACAAGTAATAATTCAGTAATATCATCCAGACTATGCTCAATTTTTACTGATTATCCCACAAGTATCTTTTTCTAGATAACACAAATGATTTTTGATGGTTACAGTAATATTTCCCTTTATGATAATACACTTTTTACAGTTATATATGTAACATATCTATTGAAACAAAAAATCTACACATTAAAATACATCAAGTAAAAAGAACAGGTTCCCTTGGAGTCTCACCACCTATTAAAAATCATTCTTAATTTTTTTGTTATCTTTCAGAATTGTTACTGCATTTGTAAATATATTTAGATGCATTCAATTTACCAATTCTCTACTGAAGGACATTTAGGTGCTTTTTCAGTCTTTACTAAGAGCATGCAATGATTTCCTTGCCCATTCCTTTGAGAGACATTTCTATCTTTCCTTAGAATAAAGACCAAATAGTGGTATTGCTGGACCTGAGAATGTACTGAGATGTTTAATGTTGACATTTAGCAGCAGGCTGCCCTCCAGGGAAGTTCAGAGGCCCACACCCACATCTCCAGTGTTTGTGCTTCTGGTAACTTCACCAGCTCTCTGCATTAGTGATAGCTGTGATCTTTGATAATCTTAGAGATACTTTTCATTAATATTTATTAGTTACACTGAGAAATCTTCCATATCTCTTCTGGTCATTCATGTTCTTTTCTTTTATTAGTAGCTTGTTATTACCATTTGCTCATTGTACACATGTAGTTGTACTTTTCTTAGGAGCCCTACCTAATATTTGAGACATAGTAACCTCTCATCAAATGTTACATATACATGCTTGTCAACTGATCCTTAAAATATACCCACACATGCATACAAAGTTTTAAAGATTTATACAACTGAATATGTCTTTTTTTAAATCTTTGTTTTCTGCCATAAAATTCGGAAGGTTCTATCCCACCCCAGGATGGTAAAAGGGAAGGATTCTTCTATGTTATTCTAGTACTTTTATGCTCTTAACTTCTTGTATTTATATCTTTAACTCTTTTGGAATTTAGTCTTATATATAGTATGATACGGAGACTTTAAAAAACCATTATAAATCAAAAAGGCAACAAATGGACTATTCAATAGCATTAATGCATTTGGCTTTCCATATTTAAAACAAATCTTTCATAAAACAAAAATAAATTCTATAGCCTATACTATCAGGCAAAATACAGGATACTACCTTTACAATTTCAAGGTAGACAAGGATTTTTAAAATTATACACCAAAGCACAAGTGTGTTGAGGTATTTAGCTATGCAAAATTTTAACTTTTACATGGCACTTGACACTATGAAGTTAGTATGACAGTCTTGAGGAAATTATTTAAAAGAAAACAATCCATAATATATAAGCAACTCTCACAAATTAATTTTCAGAAAGTAAGTATAGGAAGTAGGGGGAAAAAGAAAAACATATAAACTGTCAATTCACAGATTAAGAATCTGGAATAGGCCGGGCGCGGTGGCTCACGCCTGTAATCCTAGCACTCTGGGAGGCCGAGGCGGGCGGATTGCTCAAGGTCAGGAGTTCAAAACCAGCCTGAGCGAGACCCCGTCTCTACCATAAAAATAGAAAGAAATTAATTGGCCAGCTAATATATATATATATATAAAAATCAGCCGGGCATGGTGGCTCGTGCCTGTAGTCCCAGCTACTTGGGAGGCTGAGGCAGGAGGATCGCTTGAGCCCAGGAGTTTGAGGTTGCTGTGAGCTAGGCTGACGCCACAGCACTCACTCTAGCCTAGGCAAGAAAGCAAGACTCTGTCTCAAAAAAAAAAAAAAAAAAAAAAAAAAATCTGGAATAGACAATACATGTAAAAGAAATTATTCTACCTTTTTGACATCAGGAAAATGCAAATTAAAATAACAAAGATCTATTCTTCATCCACCAGAATAAACTGGAATGAAAGCACTGGTATGAATATAACAAAAGTCAGACCATAATTGGTAGTATCTGAAAAGCACTTTGGCAGCATATAATAAAATCAAAATGTATATAGTTAACAATTTTCTGTTTTCCCTCTATGCTAGTTTTCTATATCCCCCATTAGATTTTCTTCTAATGTAAATGTTTGTTTTTATCACCAGCATGAATGTTATCTATATTTTGCTGTTGTTTTTCTATATTATGTTTCCTAATTGGTTTTTGAGTGTGCAGAAATAGTACTAATTTTTAATTTTTTTATTACAGTAGACTTGTTTATTTCACATCACTTATGAACACTGATGCAAAAGGAATAATAAAATATTTGCAAAGCACCCCCTGTAGTGTTAAATAACTTATCTGCAGATTCTCTTGTATGTTCTGTATGAAGAGTTATAACATTCACGGATACGGATGATAGTTTCATCCTTCCTTTATTCATGCTTACATTAAATTTGTGTGTTCTCTTTCTGAACTAAGAACTCTGCACAATGTTGAACAGTAGGGGTGATAACAGGAATTATTGTCTTAAATTAGAATTAAGTTTGCTCTACTCCAGGTTTTTGATTGATATCTTTTAATCATGTTATGAAACTGCTACACATAGTTTGCTAAAAGATTTTATCATCTATGAGTATTAAACTTTTTCAAATAAATTTCTGTATCTATTTAGTTTAAATGTATATTTTTCTCCTTTTATTTACTAATTCCAGTGGATTAAAATAATAGATTTTCTAATGTTAAAGAGCTTTGCATTCCTGGAGATAAAAATACTTGAATATCATGTTAATACTATTTAAACACACTGCTGGATTCAATTCCCCAATATCCTACTTCATGTTCAAAACTTATGTTCAAAAGTGATATGCCTATACTGTTTTTGTATGATGTCCAGTATTACAAATAATGCAATACACAAAATATAGTACATGGCTCTTAAAATTAGTTAGATACCTTTCCCTTGTTCAAAAAGTGTGAGGAGGAGGTAAACCATGAATACCTCTCACGTATGAATAAAAGTGTGCCAGGTACAGAACTGCTGGGTCCACCATCTGTTATTAATAAATCATGCCCAGCCCCACAAAAAACACGCTCAAGTCCTAACCCTCAGTACTTCAGAATGACCTTATTTAGACATAGGGTCTTTGCAGATGTGATCAGGTTAAGTCGAAGTCATACTGGATTAGAGTGGGCCATAATACAGATTCCTGGACAGAGAGTGTAGATACAGGCAACTGCTTTTATTTCCTCCCTGAAACCAGCTAAAAATACAGTCAAAGGAATTTTTTTTTTCAAAAGGCAACATCAACAAGGATGAGAACACAATAGAAGACAAACTGAAACTGGAAAGCAGATTCTAGAGTACTGAGATGGCACCCAAGAAAGCCAGCAGTGGAGAAAAGTGAGAACCAACTCAATTTACACCGCAAAACTTCAATAAGCTTGACAATCAGTGACAAAGTTTCTTTCAAGGGAAAGGTGAAAAGGGATGGAACTAAAATACTAGTTGCAAATTTTCTGATAAACATTTAATCCCAATCCCCAACTATCCACCATGCCTTGGAGAAATCACTCGCCCCCCAATCCAGCAGAAGGCTTGCTTTTTGAAGAAGACTGGGACACCATGAAACACTTGGGTTAGGTGTACTGTACCAAAAGCAGACAGATTAAGTAAACCTAAACAAAGTGATCTGAGACTGGCTGCCTGTTTCTCCCCACCAAGCTCCTTCCAAACAGGGCAGTCCTTTTGCACTCCAGGCAGGAGAATGGAAATACCTTCTCTGAGATAAGATCTAAGAGTATTGACACTGGACATTCTTCGATCAATAACTGGCCCAACTAGACTACATTGCAATGAAGCTCAGGGTCCAAAAGCCCCACACACTCAGGATATTAGCCACCCACTCTTAATACGAACAATCAGAGATTTCCAAACACGAGACACAGATGTGCAGTGTGAAAGAGAGAGACCAAAACAAGCAAAAGCAACTTGAAGTAAACGAAACCAAGAATAAAACTTCAAATATATGCAATAATATGATCTAAGATAAATGATGTTATATTCATGAAATAAGAGGCCATGTTTAAAAGGAATATTCAGAGCTCTAAGAAACTGATTTTAAAAAACTCTTAAATATTAAAAACATAAACACCCACTAGTATGGCTAAAATTAAAAAGACAGACAATAACAAGTGTTGATAGGATTTGGAGAAACTGGAACCCTCATATATCGCTGGTGGGCATGTAAACTGATGCAGCTGCTGGAAAATAGTTTGGCAATTCCTCAAAATGTCAGAGTGACTGACTGCAGGAGCAATCAAGCATGTCCTGTGTGACTCCACTGAGAAAGACTCTTGGAAGCTGGTG